ACAGGATATCTCTATTTTTTTTTTTTTGAGAATATAGGCTAAATCCCTAACTCACCACAGTAAATGCTCATACTGAAGAAAGGTACTTCAAAGGCAGGGTAAAGTTGAGTGAAATACACCTACCTTGCAGACACCCTAGGCATTACGTACAGCAGCACAGCAGAGGCTCTATTTGTTCACAAAGGAGGCTGGAAGAACGAATAATGAGAGTATTAAGCTGCTGGTGTTGCTTCTTGAGCTCACTAGCCATATAAAACTAAGGCAGTTTGGAGTCTCATGATAAAGCAGCTGCCTGGATCCCCTGCTGCAGCAGACTATGTATTGGCACCTCCTGCAGGGACAATATGTCCCCCAAAAGCTTTGAATTTTACTTGCCCAGAAGTTAGATGTACTGGATTACCAATTCATTTTCTTTCTCACCACTCACACAGAAAATGAGTGCAGAGATGAGTTTGTCACATTTCCCTGCACTGCTGCCCTGGGAAGCCAGAGCAGTTCTGCACTCACATGAGGCTGCTGAACAGGGTGGAGGACAGGCTGTGGAGCCTGTTGGACTTCAGTTCCCGACCCAAACTTTCAATTTTGATAATGGTAGTTAAAAACTATGGCTCAAAGTAACTCAGCACCCGTGAAGATTAGGCACCATCCAATTTTCACCTTCAGTCATACATTTCAATGAAAATCAATCAGACATTTTTTCCCAAACCAGTGTGTTTTTAACCAAGTCAACACAACACTGTGCTGTAACGTGAATAAGTGCAAGTCATATGCAGGCTATCAACTCCAGGCACCTATTGAGGTCTTGACATGTTCTATTGTTTTTGCATGGCTTGGTTCTTAGTAGTGGGGAGGCCACAGAGGTGGCATCTGTGAGAAGATGGGTTCTCAGCCTCAGCAAAATTATTTATATCACCCACATGAAGAACCCTAACTACCACCTTCACAGTCAAAGTAAGATCTAAGTGCTTCTGAAGGCTTCCAAAAAACGAATCAAAAGGTCTATGTTGGGATCACTGTACCAGTCACTATGTCAGAAGCACTTCCATAGGATTATTCATTGTGTTGGCACACACACTTAGTAATGCTGGGTTGTTTTTGCTAGCATATTGCTGTTCCCAGAAAACAAAAAATAATAAATATTTTTGATTCTGTTTAACAGGCAGATAATTACTTAAATGTTACTGACACTGAAAGCAAGGAGCTATGAGAGTGATCAGAGAAGCGTCACAGTTTTTCCAATGCCAAAGCATGTTATTAAACAACAGAAAACATTTCTAAGAAAGGACACATACTATTTACAAAAACAATAAATCAACTCTTGTGAATAACTTGCACAGAAATGCAGCTACAGAGTTGTAAATTTTTTTGTTGGTGACTTATAATGTTTTAGAACAGCCTAATTTCTTTGCTCATTCATTTGTTGTGATCACAAATGACTAGCATTTGCATGAAAAATGCATAAATACAGGGAAAAAGAGGGAAATATCAAGACAATTTTACTGACTTGTGCATGGCTGTTCTATTTCTTGGTAATTGCTGCTTTGCTGTGTGATTAAATCAAGGACTGTTTCAGGAAGAAAGAGGAAGAAATTAAAAAGTGGCAAAAACCAGACAGTAGGCCAAAGTAAATAATGTCAAAGATTGTAAGACAATGGCAGATGCCTCATCAGTTGGGAAATAAACACATTCTTTGTTTAAGATCAAAACACATACTGAATTCTAAATATGCTGGTACTAGAAAAAGGTCTGGATTGTTAAGTGGACTGACAGCCCTTCTTAAGGAGACATACAGGCGTTTGTCTAAGTGTGTCTTAAAAGGCAGTTTGGGTATGATTGAGGCCATATTCCTGAGCTGCCCAAGGAACAGACTCGAAAGCCCTGGTTAGTTTGTGGTAGTGGTTCCTGGAGAGAAAAAGAGACCAGGGCTAACCCTAGGAAAGACTGGCAGCAAAGCCAGGCTCATGCAGAGCAGCTGATGGCCACAGTTCCTTGTGGAGCCCACTTGGACCATGCGCAGCCCCCCCAGTGGAGTGCAGAAGATACAGACAAAGGGTGTGGGGAAGGATGAAGATGTAGATGTGAGCAGGGCTAGACATGAACTGGCACTGGGAGGTCTAGCTGCCCCATTAATGCCTAGGAAGGGCTCTCTCTGGGAACAGACAGCAGTTTGGAGAACATAGCTTAGCCCCGTCTGGGAGCTGACAGAGCTTTGAACAGCTGGAGCTACTAAAGCAGCCAAACTGACCCCAACTCAGCCCTGACCTCAACGATGAACTCGAGAGGGACAGAAGAGATAAAAGTACATCTCACCTCATAACTATGTGGTACACAACATGAGCTTCCACTGGAAAAATTCGTAGGAACGTGAACTTTGATTTCAGGGGTGTTTTAAGTTGGAATTTTTCCTCCAAATTGCTACTACGCATTCCCCAAACTTTTTCCCAGGTCTGCTCAGTATCTTAAAGAAACATTTATGTTCCCCATAGGAATCAAACAAGGCTATAGCTTTTTCACAATCTTTATTGACCTGTGGTATTGAGTGTCTGCCATAATGAAGGAATTCATATCAGTGGAATATTAAAAAGAAATAAGGTGATTTATTAGGAGCAGCATCTCTTATTAAAGCTGGCTTAAATTTATAAGAATTTTCCAGCATCTGTCTAAAATTTTTGCAGAATTTTTTATCCACAAGGGAGCAACATGGAACACTATAATTGCACCACACAGTTCTCAAAACAGTTCTGCAAAGATATACTTTGGTAAGGAAGCCCTTTTATTAATGACACTGTACTTGGCAAAGGACCCAGGAACCGTATCCGTGAGACAACCATACAGAAACATGTTTATTTTAAACTTTCAGGTTGGAGTCTCCTGTTTCACTGGGTTTAGATGACTATAGCTCTTGTGATCTGAGAAATATTTTTCCAAATTTATACTGGCATAACTGAATAGATTCAAACTTTAGAGAGTCATTGGAAATACCAGTAGCATAAAAAGCTCTGGTTTTAATATGGCACTTATAATTGAGCTGGGAGATTTCCACACTGGAAGAAGTAACTGGAGAGGCTGATCAGATACGATACCTGGAAAGTTAGTGTTGTGGAATACTTAGCATGTCCTGAGATGGTGGTTTAGGTAGTGTATATACCTATCAAATTAATTATAAAGTTTATTTTAGCTAGTGACATTTCTGGGCAGGGATCCAAATGTTATTGAGGCAGGATGGGTGGAGATATATATATTTTATCAATAAGATAAGCCAAGTCAGGAATGAAGATCATGGAAGAATGCAAGGAAAAAACACTCCTGGCATCATTGTAGACATGACTTACAGTAATAGCATGGAAGGAGAGACTTCAAAGTTTTGTATGAAAATTTCACTTTTACAATTTAAAGCTTAATTTTTAATGGTTGCATTTGATTGTTTCATGTGGACTTAAACACTGGCTATAAGCCATCTTTCTTTATTAAGTTGATCTGTCAAAGATGAATTCACCTGTTATTAAAAGCTACAGATGTTTCTCATAAATGAACCAGTTCAGCAACAGTAACCAAAAAAAAAAAAAAGTTGCCAAGGGTAATGAACTAGCCAGACTCATTAAAAAATAACCCAATCAAAAAATGTATATGGCTGAACATCAAATCTGTGAAGAAAACAATGCATCAATATCAGTTCCTGAAGATGCTGTACAAAACTGTTTATGCCCAGATGGCATCTTTATTAGATTTAGAAGGTACCATGACATTTTCAGGCACTTTTGACTGACAAACACTATTTTTCATCTTTAATTTGCAATCTTCCTGGAAAAGGAATTTTAAAGAATGTCCTGTAATCATTTGTATCTGACTGTACTTCAAATCTGCCTATAATTTAAACCCCTGAAATTATTTACTTGAAGTGTTTCTGAATGACTGAACCTGTTGTTTTAAATAACAGCATGAATGTAGGCAGCAACCTCGGACTGGGAAGAAATCTCTGTTACTGAGGGTTACTGAATCCCATTTTTTTTCTCTGTTCCATGTTACTCATTTTACACTCTCTTCCTCATGAAGCAGACACTTATGTGATGAAATACACTGATCTTGAGTGAAATTCTTCTGGGCACTTGGACTTTTTGCATTTGAAGATGATTTGGGAGGAAAAGCACCTACCTCAAAGAATTTTCCTGCAGTTCACATGCCTGTGAAACACAGATGATATGTGGGCATCCATGACCCTGCCATTCTTGCTCCATTTGCATTCCAGCACATTTTAAGCTTGTAAACTACTTGGTCATGCATCAGTACCTGTTTTGTTTATGTATTGAGGTACAATGGACACTTCTGAGATTTCTCGTTAATTCCCAGATGGCAATTCTGCAGAGGTGATGTTTAGGAAATTATAAAGGATCTACTTTTTTCAGGTAAACAGATACAGTAATTTGGCTTAAGTTCCTATGGCAAAGGAAGCCTGAAATACCTACATGGCTCTGAGGTTTAAGGTGGCAATTATTCATTCTTTGTAAAGAAGTGTTTTGGTTTATCTTCACCTGTAATAAAGTGTTGGGTCATTCCACAGCCAATTTATTAAATGAAATGGATCTTCTCCTTTGTCTTCAATGCCAGGTTGATCCATAATGGTAAAACAGTAATAATACAACTTTAGCATCTTTTGATTCTGCCATTACATCTGTTAGTTCACTGCTTTCCCATAAAACAGAGAATGTGATGAAAAACCATGGGACCTCAGGAATAAACATGCTGGTACTCAGCTATTAATTAGTTTGAAAAACAATAGGGCATTCTTCCTTTCTCATGTTTACTATTTACTCTGGTACTACCAAGACATTTTATGACACAAGCATAGGCACACAGAAGTGCATCATATAGTTCATAAACTGATGGAGGTCTGTCAAGCTTGATATGTAATCTTTTTCCAGAACCACTGTGCAGGCTGTTAGAAAACACTAAGGAAGAGATTTTTTAATTTCTCTTATTTATTCTGCTCTTGTCTTTTGCAGCTGACACCAGTCTTGGAACAGATGATGTTTATGATGACAAAGGGTGCCAGTGTGATGTGTCTGTAGAAGATCTTACCCCTGCTCTTAAAACCGTCATTAGAGCTATCAGGTGAGTAGAAAATACTGAATGAATTAAAATTTGAGCTTTCTTTAGTTAGGATAGTACTAAACTGCATGTCAATTCATAAAATGGTAGTTAGTTGAACTTATTACATGGCTATATTTGTTACATAACTAATGCTAATATATTATGTTTCCTTTCTATTTTAGTTAAATTAAAACATTTTCTCAGTTCTGTTATCAGCTTTTCAATATCTAAAAATGTTACATGATTTGACACAGAAAAGAGAGTAATGGATATTGTTTTCCATTATATTTTATGTTATCCAAACTATGATTTGATGTAATTTTACTGAATATGCATCACCTGGCCTGGAAAAGTTATTTCCTTTAAAAGTATAGGATTTTATTGCATTTCAATATTCCTGAGAATGTCCTATGACTTTTATTGCAAATTTCTTCTAGTAAGAACAGAATAATTACATTTATTCAATTATGCAAAGCCTTGCCTACCACTACCCACTAAACTAAATATAACCCAAATAATTTAAAACAAATAGTCTCCTTTTCCAAGAAAGTAGGGAATTTCATTGAAACTTATAAAGTTACCTGCATTGAAAGTTTAAACGTGTCATTCACCCTCTTGAGATAGCCAAGGCTATTTATCTTCCAGGGTATTTTGAAGTATAAATCCTGACACCCCATAAAGTGTACAGCAACAAGCAAGGTGAGCTCAAGCATTCCCTGTCTGCTGGCAGCAAACCTCAGGTTATGTCTGGGGGTCACCCCACTGGCTCTGCATCACAGTCACATCAGTGTCTAGCACCCTTCTTGGGTGCAGGGAGGTAGGCAGACAGACAGCTAGCAGCCAAAAGGAACTTCTGCAAAAACCTATGGAAAGACAATGTTTTCCTGTACAGAAACCCTTGCCTGAGTTTTCTCAGCACTATATGAAGAAAAAACTTAGGCTTTTTATCACATAATTTCATGCAGTGATAACCTATGGGCTACTTGTATTTTCTTCCCCTCTTCCACTGAGTAAAATGAAGACAGATCGTGAGTAAGGCTGTTGCTAAAACTTTCTACTAGCAGAAACAGATTGAAAGATCACTGGCAGACATCTTTTCCTACCATTTTTCCAACCTCCCTGGAAATGACCTCACAGGACAATTCAGATACCACGCCTGTGTCCACAGCCAGTACAACTGGCAACCCAAGCGTCACTGCTGAAAACCACCTCTTGTTAGCAATGTTTCAGCAGGTGACAGAAATCCTTTTTTCACAGAGGACACCCACCCACAAGGCAAGCCTATTCCCTCAAATGGAAAATGCTCACATTAGGAACAGGCAGCATAATCCATTGACTTTGGTGTCAAAGATGCTTCTCTGTGATGCTGCATTTTACACTGACTGGATAAGTCTTGGCTCCAGGTGCACCTTGCCACTTGTCCTGGCAAGGGATAATCATTCTTCATACTATCCAAATTCCTTAAGATTGACTTCACTTTTTAATACTTAATTCATGGAGCTCATTTTCTAAGGAGCCACTGGATTGTTCAATGCATCATCTGCATTTTTGCTTGGTGCTTTTGGTCACTATCAGCTCAAATGAAAGCAACCAAATGTGAAGGATATAGCTGGGAAACTTTCTCCACAGTACCATCCACAGAAATGTTCTAATAAGAAGAGTAAAGGTGCAAGATTTGATTGTTTCATACATGTACTATTTAACTGATGAGAAACAAGTTTTTTATATTATCTCCAATTTTTGCTCTGCATGCCTGACCTACTAAAAAAACAACTCATGTCAGCACTGAGGCTGAGAGTAAGAATCTCCATTTGCCATCAATTATGAATCTCTCCCATCTCCCTGCAAATTTTAGTGTTTTGCAAGATTACAAGCAACACATGCATCTTGCTTCAGAAACTTACCTTTGTTTGACATCTGTAAAACAGTTATATGCCATGATCTTGAGACTTCTGTATATGCTATACTTTAATCTCTCAAAATCAAGAGACTGATAATTCAGTTCATCAGGTAGCTGATACACCTCTTTCTGATTATTCAGAGTATCTGTTACCAGACTATGCTGGGATCTATGCAAACATCTGAAGAAGGATCTGAGACTCTATATAGTAACTGTAGAATTTCAAGATGATAACATCTGCCTATATGGAAACTTTGTGGCTCGTTTTGAAGTTTGTTTTTAGAAACAGCTTTGAATTGCAAACGCAGTGAGGGAGGGTGAAGGCTAGTTTTTCTTTCATGCTGGTATACAGAAGGAGGCGAAGACAGAAGGCATTTGCATAGTTTTATGACGCACTATCAAAAGACCCCAAATGTAAACACAGACAGTTGAATCCATTCTTGATACATCAATTTGAAAAATTGGTATAGGGGAGACTATATTTTCCTGCTTAGACCTGGGTACAAATTGTTTTACAAAGACACAAATGGCCCTTTTGTTTTAGGGGGAAATGAAATTAACAAAATTAATTCATGACTGTGGGTTTACAGAGTAAACCTTTGTAAAGCCTTTGGGTTTACCCCTCTCAGTTTTGGAATCAAAACATTTGGGGTGGGGCTTTTTTTCTGTGCAAGGAGCCTAAAATACGCTGCTCACTCTCAGCCTTGTAATAGCAAAAGACAAAAACTGGTTTATTTATAATTTTTCATTTTGGTAATTTCAAAGTCTACTGTGCCAGTTTTGACCTTGCTTACTTATATTTTTTCCAGGACTACTTTACTCTTCAAAACAGCTTTTTAAGTAAACAAACCCCCAAATTTTCATTTTGTTTTAGTCAACATTTTGGTCCTTTCCAAAAAAGACAGGACTCTCAAATAGTCCTACTGAAGACCCGCCAGGCAAACCTGTCTGGTAACATGTCAAGTTCTCAATCTGCTCTCAAAGCCTCCTAAACTGAGTCTTTTAGCTCGTGTGCTGCCTGCTCCATTCCTTCTTACTACACAAGCTCTCTGTCAGGAAATGCCAACTGAGGGAGTAGGGAAAGTGAGGAAAATCTGCTTGATGCATTTGCACAATGTTGGGTGAGTAGGGAACAGATGGGTAGTGTGGTGAAATATGGTGTGCACAGCACGCCTTGGGCCCAGTCAGGATCAGTCCTGCCCATCCATGGCCTCTGGCTGGGATCAGAGCAGTGCACAAAGCAATCCTTGCTAGCAGTGCACTGAGTCCGTGTGCCAGCAGGTTGTTCAGCACTACTCAACCGTCCCCAGTCTGTTGCACAAAAAGCCATTAATATCCTGCAGACTTCCTGGAGACTAACAAAAAACATTGCATATTCCAGCTCTGTTAGTTCACAATGATGAATGTGTATAAAAGAGACTAAAAGGAAGATTAGGAAACCTTGTTTCCCTATATTGTGATATCTCTGATCATTTTCCATAGCAAGAAGCACTCATTTCAATAATACTTTCCACATGGAAATGATGGAATTACTATTTATGGAATATAAAATGAGATTTGAGAAGCATAAATAAATATACAATAGAAAATAATTGCAATGGCAGGAAGATGAACATACTGACCTAATAGGTCTTTTCTCTCTTTAACTCCAGTGATTGCAAAGATATGTTTTCATTTGTTGCTAATGAAAAAAAAAACCTGTAGCTAAATGTAATGAAACTTGAGAATTCTAGAGCTGATAAGCTGTATAGTTGAACAGTCATACATATTTAACAGACAAAGAAGGAAAATATAATTTACCATTTATGTTCAGTCTTTATAATGTTCCTGCATCACCTATAAAAGCCATTTTGAATTTATTCAATGTAGTGTTTCAGAACCACCTCTTTCTTTTAAATCCAAACACATTGTTTATTTTCTGCCAGATGGTCTTCAGAGCCTAGGCAGGGCTCTTACACATGTGTTTGGCTAGGACGGCACTGTACTTGGGGGAAAATCGTGTTTCTGGCTGCTAGGGGATGACTCAGGTCAAGACATGAGAGAGAAGACAATTTTGACTCACTTGCCTCACATGTAGAACTGTCTCTGTGTTGGATCCTGATCTCTTCTGCACATTACAGTTTTACCAGGAAGAAGGGATATTTGGCAAGTTAAGGGTAGAGAGACAGAGGCACCAACACAGCTAGATCTCTATTCACCTGCCTTCCTGATGTAGTAAGTGAGCAAACAATCTGTGGTCACTTCACCTGGCTATGGACAGAACAACCTACCTGTCTTTTAATATTCAAGGCAGTAACCATGTATGATTCTACCTGAATCCCAGTAGAATAAAGCTCTGTTTCTTCTTGAGATAATTACAAGACTGGCAGGACACAGCTTTGAAAATAATGGCATGGATATGACAGGACTGCACGAAGGATTAAAGATGTTTTAATGTGGTGCCAGTCTCAGGAAAGTGCACTAAATGGCAAGCAAAACAGCTTTTAATACTGGAAGGGGCAACATGAAAGCAAATTAAAATGCAGTGAATGCCAGGGAAGATATGCAACATGCATGTGCGGAAAATGCTGTAATTTCAGAGCAGTGCTGATCCTGAATCTGAGAACAGATAAATAAAATGGGTGCTGCTTTTGGCTGCTATGTGTCAGTAAGACAAAAGTTGGTATTGGACCTGTAACTTTCCACAAATTATCGGGGTACATAAAGATTATTGGGAGCTGTGGCTTAGATATTCATTCTAGACAAAGCATTTTTATATATTGGCCTGCTTCAACAGATGATTTTTTTTCCTGCTCTTCTCTGGTTGTATCACTGAAATAAGCTACTTTTTATGACTAATTCTCACCAGAACACTGTCATGCATGTGGCTTGGGTGGGCTTACAACCGCCTATGGCCTGTCACATTAGATTTGAGTCATAAAACACCACTTGCTGCACGGCGCAGAGCGATTTAAACACTAGAGAAGTTTTAAAAAGCGGTGGGGCCTGGGGGGCCTTGCCCTCAGCGGCGCGGCCTGACGGGCCTTGTGACGGGCCTTGTTCGCCCCCTGCTGGTGCCGCCGGGAAAGGCAGCCCGGGCCGGCCGGCCGAACAACTGAGCTGTGCGTGACTTGGTGCTCAGTTCCCCTTTTTTGTACGGGTAGGTTACTGCAACTAGCTCTGCTTTTATCCCACAGGAGCTCGCAGTCTGCGTAGTTGTACATAATCTATCAGGATGGGTGTCCCGTACAATGGCTCAATGGGTAAAAGTGACCGTAACAACCATCTAGTCCCGACCACCCTGCTATGGGCGGGGTCACCTCTCACTTGGTCGCTCCAAGGTTGCTTGAGACTTGAGACCGGCTTACCCATCCAGCCTGGCCTTGAACTCTGCCAGAATCGGGGCATCCACAGCTTTCCTGGGGGATCTGCTCCAGAGCCTTACTGCCCCCACAGAAGAACGTTAATTACACAGTGATTTCTAGATATAGGAAGTCAACGGGGTTTTTAAAACTGACACTGAATAACCATGGAGATTTGACCAAATTTAATAACTGCAAAATAGTTGCAAGGCTCCATCACTGAAAGAATTCAGTTTTTCTTAATTAACTTGCAAGCTTTTAAAATGACAGTGTTTTAATCGTTCAATGTTTTTTGCAGTTAATGTAAAATTTTGCATACTTGAAGAAAAAGAAGTAAGCAATATGGGTCTATTCCAAACCCTGCTGAAGTTAATTAAGATGTAATCACATGAGCTAATACCTAAACCAGAAACAGTACAGTTACAGCTCATTGATAACAGCTGTGATGCTTTCAATTCTGTTTGACTTCTGAACATTATGAACAAACCACCTTGAAAATCAAAAAAAGTGTTATAAAGCTGCAAAGTAGTAGTGAAGACTTTTGTGCTAACTGATTAAGAAGCTTCCATGGTTGTTAATATAAATTATTCTTCCCGTGGTTGTTAATATAAATTAGTCTTCTGCCTCTTCCCTTGTAAAATCACCCAGTTGTGGTAAATTCAGTTGTCTTCAATTATGCCAATAATTGTCTGGCTCTTCTTTTCTAATAGAGTTTGCTATTTTTATTTTATTAAATGCATGAAGTAAAACATTGTGACCACTGGAACATAATAATAACAACGACAAAACTATTATACTGTCTCGTATGTCACCTGCATTATTCACTCTTTGTAACCTCAATAAAGAACTAGATTCAGAAGATGAGGTTGTCAAGGTCTTATAAACCAACACCTTGGCATAATTTGACAGCTAAAAAGAAAAAGAAATCTGCATCCCAGATTCATCACAGCTTCATAGACTTACAGATTTCAAAAGATACCAAAAGCCATTGGTCTGTAGAGCTAGCTGGCAATACAAAAAAGGAAAGTCCATGATCAAAAATATATTTGCAAGTGCACGGAGATCAGTCCTGAAGTGTCAAGTTCATGGACTGCTCCTAACATGCCTTCTCCATTTTTAATTCCTATAATCAGAATCACAGTTCAAGTTGTATACCAATGACAATCACATTTTTAACTGAAAGTTACCAGAATGGGAAATATGAACAAGCTAAGTACTGTGAGAAAAGGCTAACATTATCTGTAAGAATATTTATGTATGCTACAAAAATCAGTAGAGGATCACTATATACTATCAATGCAACTCTATATACCTGTTATCATAATGTCTGTCCTGGCTATATGAAGTATGGCTTTTCTAAATTCCACTAAAACATTAATAATCTATTTTTATCAGAGAGCGGGAACCATGTTTTGGGTTTTATTATAATTTGTTGTCTTACAGCTGCTAAATACATATCATAATAAACACAGTGGGAATATATTATCATTAATATTGGCATTTGGGATAGGATACCAATTACAGTCTGTGTTTTTTCAATTGCAATGGACAGCAAATATCAGCAGTTTGGCCCTAATGGGAATTCTTAAGCTCTGCAGCACAGGCCAGAATGGCTAATCCTGATCCCTTGTTTTCTCTCCCAATTCTTAGGTAAACCAAAGAAAACTTCAGGTTCAACCAGGTGACCAGGAAAATCATCTCACTGTCATTTACTTTCCAAATTTGTCATTTTTATTGTTTAAAATTTACAATTTAATATCAAGCTTTCCATTCTAAGAGCTACTCAGGGGACATACCATGTTCATGTCACATAACAGAGAAACTTGTGCAAGACTCACGTAAAAATATGTGTGCCATTCGTCAGTTTTGGATATTTATTGTTATCTGAAACCTTACTAGTCTGTAGTAAAGTTCAAGGAAAAACTCATGAATGCTAATTAAGCAATAATTCCTATATACTCCAGCAGGGAACAAACAAGGAAACGTCTCTTCAGCCTCCAAAATTTGATCTTAAGTCAGTCAAATAAGTTGAAAACAAATATTTAGACCTGAATGTTAATTAAAAAATAAAAACGGATGAAAAATTAATTGGATGGTTTTTTCCCCCACAAAGAGGAGAGCAAGGTACTAAAAATTAACACCAGAACAAGAATACTGTTATTTTTATTTGTGTAATCAATTCATTAAAGAAATCTTTCCTGTAACAAGAACGGAAGTATCTTATGCACAAATACAGCAGGCATGATATTTCACTTAAATCAGTAAAACTAATCCCAGGTTTAAGTCAAGCATGTACTTCAGTACCTTTCATATCAAGTACCTACCATTAAAAAGTCAAACAGGTATATACTGATATACTAAAGATGTTCTGCAGTCTTTAAAACAGTGTTACCTGATCTCTCAAGCAATTCAAAGACATAGCTACAGTGCATTTGTACTTAAAAAAAGCCATGTGAAAGTTTACCTGCACAAGCTGTATTGAAAATACCTTCCATTTAAAAAAGAGCTATCAAATTTTGTCAGTGAAATATGATGGTTGAAAATTAACCTATAAAATGCTTTTGCCTCACAGAATTATGAAGTTTCATGTTGCAAAGAGAAAGTTTAAGGAAACACTTCGCCCATATGATGTCAAAGATGTCATTGAACAGTATTCAGCAGGTCATCTAGACATGTTATGCAGGATTAAGAGTCTTCAGTCACGGTAAGGAAAGAATTAAACTCTGCATAAGCATCTAATGTCATTCACTGCATAAAATATATTGGCAAAGTTTAACATTTCCATGTTATGCAGCCTCTCTTTCTGTAAACACAGCTGAGCCAGAAATTGAATTGTGGACAAAACAAAAAAAAAAAACATGTATCCAATTTTTTCTCAGAAAATGGAAGTCTAAAAAAAAAAAAAAAAAAACATGTATCCAATTTTTTCTCAGAAAATGGAAGTCTGAACAATAGAAAAGGTAATAATTTATCTGTACAGTCCATTTGTAAACAAGGAATTTAGTCAAAAGGGTGAGGAAAACATTGAGATCTGCCTCTTTCCCATCCAATACTTCCTCTTTTCACATAAAAGAAATTGAGAACTACTGGTAATGTAGTATTTATGTAGGTCTTATGTTAGAGATTCCCAGCAGTAGTAATTAAAAAAAACCAAAGAGCATTGCATCATATTAATCATTATCAGAGAAGGTTAGGGATTCCTGCTTCAAACTGACAATTCTCCCAGGAGTGGATGTTGTTAGGATGGGAGAGCTGGGAGCAGAACTGGTACGTCTGTTTCTCCATAACATCAAGTGCCTGGAGAGGCCCCATCCTCTTTCCCCATTTCAGCAAGTATAGCCCTGGCTTTCCCAGATAATGGTTAAGTTCTGGCTCATGGTTAGTGCCAACAAAAAAGAAAAGCAGCCTAATATGCTCAAAAATCATTCTTTTTTTTTTTTTTTCATTTTCCTTAATTAATAAAAATATGTTTGTCTTCTTCCTTGAGTACTTTCCTGAAGTACTGTGATTTATATGGCAAATACTTCCATATCTATGCCAGTTCCAAGAATGGCAACAGCTTTTGATTTCTCTTACAGTGTTGACCAAATTCTTGGAAAAGGACAAATCACAGCAGATAAAAGAAGCAGAGAAAAGAATCCTGCAGAGCATGACACAACAGATGACGTCAGTATGTTAGGGCGGGTAGTCAAAGTGGAGAAACAGGTAGAGTGATTATCTGTGTTAACTTGCCTTGCTTTATTGCTCTTGCCTTTTCTGTGTTTTATTGCCAGTTTCAAAACCTGAACAGGTAAATTTTTTTTTCTAATATCTGTTTTGTTTATACATTGAAATAAAAATTATATTAATTGTATTACCTTAACCTTTTCTCCTCTTTTCTCAGCTTGCTTATTAAAAATGTGCATGGCTTCTGACATTCTTTTTCAAGGCTCAATAGTACACATCAAACTACTTCCATTTTTCTCTTCAGCAGTTACATTTTCCCTTTGCTTGGCTTCCAGATATTTTAAATTAGTATTTGGCACTAATGTTGACCTTTTCCTCTCATATAGGTACAATCCATTGAGTCAAAACTGGACTGTCTATTAGATATTTATCAACAAGTTTTGCGAAAAGGATCTGCATCTGCGCTCACTTTGGCTTCATTTCAAATGCCAGCTTTTGAGTGTGAGCAGACTTCTGATTATCAGAGTCCATCAGACAGCAAAGATTTGTCTAATTCTGCACAACTTAGTGGATGTGTATCCAGATCAGCTAGTGCCAATCTGCCTCGTGGCCTACAGCTTATACTGACACCAAATGAATTTAGCACTCAGGCTTACTATGCTTTTAGTCCAGCTATGCATAGTCAAGCGACACAAGTGCCAAATGATGGACCTGCAACAGTTAATAATATATCAAACCAAATAAATCAGACAACTAAGCCAGCAACTCCGACAACATTACAAATACCACCTTTCTCATCGATGAAGCATATCAATAGGCCTGAGCCCATTCATATTATTCCTGTAACCACACAGGAAAATATTTCTAATGTCACCGCTTGCCTTGTTGCATCAAAGGATAATGGACAAGTTGCACAGCCCAGTGCAACAAAGGATCTCACATGGAGAAAAAGTCTGGATACAGAAGGGGAACCTTTGCTCTCAGTTAAACCTGTGGTGCAAATGGATTTAGGAAAATCTTTATCTGTACAAAACCTTATACAGTCAACAGAAGAACTGAATATACATATTGCTGGCAGTGACTCCAGTGGTTCCAGAGGTAGCCAAGATGTATACTCCAAATGGAGGGAGTCAAAATTATTTATAACAGATGAAGAGTTGGAGACAGAGGCAGGGACAGAGACTACTGAAGCCATCTCGCGCCCATTAGTGGAAACAACTCTCTCTGCTGACTCTCTAAGGACTGGAATATCAAGATCATCTCAAAACATCTGCAAGCCAGGGGATGGTACAGAAGCACTCAATCTGCTCCACGTCAAACTTAAATAACTTCTGGCTTTCTTCATTGGCTGGGTCATTCTTCTAGTCATACATATCATAGCATGAACTGTTTTGAAAGCCTTTTTAATAAGATAAAATCACAAAAATCAGGATGAATCTGCAAAGCAGTTGAATGAGCCCATATTTCCTAGTTGCATGAAAATGCATGTCTAACCAAATTTACACCTACAGTACAGCAGCCTTTCATGTAGTACAGTAGGTTTTAATAATGAGTTGCCTACAAAGCTAATGCTGCAGGATGTATCAAAAAACAAAATTTTGAGAATTTAGACCTTGTGCTGTTTCTACGGGGCAGAAGTAAAAATCTTAAGGTTTAAAGCACTTTGCTTCTGAACTAATTAATTATATATATATGATGTCCTGATTTAGATGATAGTTTATGTTTACAACAAAAAGATTATCTACAGCTGCTAGCAAGGTACCAAGGAAATGAGTAACAGGGGGTTAGAAATGGCTGCCAGTCGCAAGATACACACATTAACTCATCAGTAATCAGTTATTGAAGAACAGTATGTTAATATGTGATTTTTGGTGATTTAGTGCTGTGGCAGAAGTACCTGACACACCACTGTCACATTGTTCTTTAAAACAAGAATTATTTTGTTACAAAAGGTTTGTATTTTCAGGATTGGGTCTGGCATCACAAGTGGATAACGTGGGTGACTGCACTGAAAATTCAAGGGAATCTCTCCTTCTTCCAGTCTCATTGAGAAGCTGACTTGTGAATCTGAACCATTCTGGCAGCAGTGGGTGAGGGAAGGAAGCAGGTACTGCCTTTATTGTAGAAGCAATATTTCCTTCTTGTGAAAATTTTGGCAATTTTCCTTGTAGTCTCAACCTGGTATTATGACAGCACTTTCATAAGGCTGGGCAAGAAGGGGAAATGAGGAAATGAAATGTAGAGTAATACTAAAGAGGACAGAACAGGAAGGAGAAAGACAACACAATAATGGGAAAATAAATAAATAATAATATAGATATAGATGGGCAGGAAGGGAAATAATCCCAGAAAATAAAGCAAGAAAGGCAAAGAAGGAAAAAGTTACATTTTTTTTTTTTCACAGATATTGAGTGTTATTAAAAATAAATTTAAAAATAATAATTTAAAAAAGGCATATAGGTAATCAGACATAGAAATAGAAGTAGAGAAAACCATCTTAACTAAAAAAAAAAATAAGGCAAGAGCTTGCTGCTTTTTTAATAAAAGGGGAAGAGGAGAAAGGGAAAATGGTCCCACTCTTGTAGCTCAACACTGTGTCCCAACTACAGTCATTTCTTGTGAACTTTCCAACACAGGACTCTCAGACCCCTTCCTGCTAAAACCCGGTTTTCAAATTCAAAGCTTACATCAGACTGAGCATTCCTGCCTGATACAGCCTCTTTTTTTTTCTCACTCTAGCCTACACTTCACTTCTGCTGAGTGTAGAAGAAGTGTTAGTGCCTGCCTGCACAACCCCAGCAAGACTCTCCCACTGGGAGAACCCTTGCAGACCCTAAACGGGCTTTCACTCTTCCAGCTGAATAAGGTTCCTGTGTGTTGCCTCCTGCAGATTTACACCTCACCTGCACCACAGGCTTGTAGACAACCCAGCTTGGGCTCAGCTTCCCTCTAGCAGCAGGAATACCGAATGTACGGGTGTGCCAGTGCCAGCTCACTCAGGGCAGTGTTTTCTCAAGGTCCAGACCCGCTGGGAACTCGCTATGTACATCAAAAAATCACTTCAGTCTTAACTGTGGCTAAATGCTGTGGATTGTATTGTGAAGGAGCTGATCTGTTTACTATGAAACCATTGTAACTTCTGCTTCCATTTGCTTTACCGAAGTATTCCTGGATGTTACATGACGACTTTATTATGTGAAAGTACATGCAAACTGTAGAGTGTATATATTGTGTCATTATACGGGGTCCATGGATGGTACACTGTGTTCCATGGCTTATGCCGGAGCAAACTTCAGTTGTTAAATCCTGAAAGACACCTTGAAGCACAATTTCCTCACCGTTGATTTGCCATATAATTCACCACATTCAGCCTTTCCTCTTTTCTTTTATGTGCAATCTGACCATACCGAAGCCTGATTACAACAGCAATTTTGTGAGGATAAATACATTTTTTTCCACATCTCAGTTCACTTAACTGTTAACTTATTTGAATGTCTGCAGTTTATCCAGACAGATATGTAAGTTTAAAGTATTGAAATTTTTAAAATTTAAAATTGTTTTTTTAGGCTAGTTTTTTCCTTTTTCCTGTTTATGGTGCCTTTCTTGCCTTTCATGTGAAGCCTCCTGCTGAGCTAAGCATAAATGTGCAGTTAGGTTCAGCTAAGGAGCAAGCGACTGGGCACACGGCAACTGTGTGTCCACAGTGAAACGCCCCCGAAAAAACAAGGCATCGTGAATTGGACACCACTCTTCCACCTCCATCTGCAGGAGCAGATGGTTGCACCCCCATTGCACCCAGAAGGCGTCGATGGGAGAACTGAGCAATGGCCCCTGCCTGCCCTGATTCCACACAGAAACAGGGCCTTGGGGTTTGCTGATAATTTATCTCACGGAAACTTGGTATTTTTGCCTTAAATGACATGCTTGAGTCCTCCTAACTTAATTTATTTAATACAATTTTGTGCACAAAAGAATGAGTTCTATAAATTATGTATGAAAATATTAATGTCTTTACAAAGTACTGATAAATCCAGAAGATCTTATCTTTTCAAATTAAGGTTTAAAATTCTTTTTTCTTTTATGCTCACCATTGTTATTTTTGTAGATGCAAGTCTTATCATGTAGGGTTTTTTAACATAATATTGATAGAAAATAGAAAGAGTAGTGAATATATGAAATTTTAAAGAGGAAGAATTGTTTGTTTGGATTTTTATAAGCTTTACTCGTATTTCCTCATGAGGATTATCTATGCTTTCTCTTTAAAAGACAGTGTCACCACTGACAGTCATTCATTGATTTCACAAAAGAAGGGCCTATCTGGCTTTTCAGGTTTTGTCCTGAGCTCCTTATTAAAGTCCAGCTCATGACAACTAATAAGAATTGTTCATGAGTCAGGACAAATAATATTTTTTTTCTGATTTACAATACACTTGAGAATTCTTTAAAGAGAGAAGTTGAAATTAAGTAAGAGCTTCAGGACTCAAGCCTTATCTAAATAACTTTTCTGGTCAGCATGTTCTTCTACCTGAATGGAGAGAGAGCTGAAAAGAATGGTTTCAATTACTATTATTTGTTTAAAAATTTGTATTTGCTCCTGGCTTATATGACCTATATTTTTATTTAAACATGAATACGATGTTTTAGCCTAGGGTTCAAGATTGCAAAGATCATACACTTTTATTTACAGTGCCCACAGTTGCTCCATATGTTTTTGAGATACTCAGAGTGACTGCTCTCATTATAGTATGGTGATGAGTAATTCACCTGCTTTTCTGTGATAAGTCAAATCATGCTGAATTGCTGATATATAGTAGAACATCTGTTGTACAGTAGTATTTCTGGATTGGGACCTGCAATCCTTACTCAAGCAAAAATTCTATGGAATTCATTCATTCTATGAAATTCAAGAATTTTTCTTGAATTGGGAACTCAGATTCAAATCCTGATTTTGTTGGGCATCTGTTTGAAGTGAAAATGGTAATATTCCAGTTATTTCCTGAGGAAACTAATACTTAGCTGAATTTACTCTTGTCACATTGACTATATAAAAAATAACGCACAAAGTACTGATATAAAAAGGGAAGGAGAGAAGGGACATTTTTTAAAACCGCAGAGAAAATCAGAATATTCAGAAAATAGGAATAAGCAGGAAAAGAAAATATAACAGCAAAGGAATGGAGAAAAAAGAGTTTAAACACCCAAGTCTAAATTCATCCTTGGATGGCTTCACTGACTTCAATGAATTCACTGCCCAACTGGGTGAAGCTCAGCCTCCGTTGGGATAATCAGACTCAGTTCCACTGACCTTACAGGAACTGAACCATCTGTACCAGAAATGAACTTGCCTCTCTGGGCCAACTTTTATCCTGACTCATATGTCATGCAATCCTTTTGGATTCACTAGGTTTGAATGAAATATGGAAATGAATTTGTCCCAGGTATTTCTGCTTCACATTTTTTTTCCAAGTGTGTTAATTGACTTTATTCAAATGGTTACAACATCACACAAAGTGCTGTCACTGTCTAAAAAGATTAATTTGTTTTTGAAATAAGACTTGTCCCCTGCAACGTCAGTGGAAGCATGTAATATTTCCCTGTCCATTCATCTGGATGCAAATGTGGCCATTCATTCAGCTGTGGCCACACACAGGACAATTCCAGACATATCCAATGTCATCTGCTATTGGAAGCATTTTTGACTTCTTTGAAAGACAAAAAGAAAGTTTCATAGCAGGCTTAGAAAGCATGAGGCTGCTTCCACTGACACTGCAACATTAGCCAGTACATTACAATGTTAATTGTAAATTCCTGATGAAGTTGAATCCATATTGTTGTTAATAAAAATGACTTGAAAAGTACTGTGACTACTGGGTTTTTTTCTTACATAAAAGATTATACAATGTGACCACATATCAGGTACAGAAAGAAAAAACAATTAAGCTTGCTGCTTTTTGTTTGCTTTTGAAGGTTTCTAATTTTTTAATAAGTGAGCCAAAATACCACAAAGGAAGTTTATTAGAATAAAATGTGCAGAAAGCAGTCTGACATGTTCAGTTTCTGCTAACTGTTTACAGCAGTTTACTTTCACTTAATATTGCCGCTCCTCTATGAAAATGAGCTTGGAAATTATTGTTGCCTTCCTTGTTTGATAAATGGCAATGGATTCAGGATTGGCAATCAGGGGTCTGTGTGAGGAGCAGGATTTCTCATGGAAGGCACATCTGTCATGTCAGTTGAACCTGAGGCCTAGGTGAAGCCATTTTTTCTGCATTTGACCATGAAAATTGCTGTAGAATGTTACTGCGCCAAACCTGGAACAGTCATTTGCAAGACGCCTACTTTCACCACTGGGCTCTTCCTGTAGCCTGGCTGAAGACAAGCTTCACTATCTGAGTGCAAAATACTAAATATAGAGAGCCTGTTCTTGTGGTGAAGTCACTGCTTCTGTGAAGGCTTCAAGATCGGATGCAGATATCTCTGTGTGCAGGTGATCCCCAGCCTCTCTCAGGAACATCATCTTAAGCCAGAAAGGGAGGTTTTCCATGTCAGCCAATGTAAACACTACCAAACTCTGCCTAAGAATAAACACAGGACAGGAAAAGAAGCAAATGTACACATTCTCTTCATTTGTTAAAGCAGGCAGCCTTGCTTCCTGTGTGCACAGAGCTGCTAGGGAAGGGTCAGAAGACAGCAGGGAGTAGTTTTTGCTCTTGGGTTACCTGGCAGATTGCCACGACCAGGTACAGGTGGTGATGTGTATCCATAAAGACACATACATAAATGTTCCCTGTTCTGTACAATACGAATCCAGGACCCTACCTAACACCCATTTAGCATTTTTTTTAGTATGATTGACGGGGCTAACAGCTCTTTTTTGTTTTGATTTGGTTTTCTCTATTTTTTTCACAGTGGTAGTAACCAAGCACTGGCATAGTCTTCTCAGGGAGGTTGTAGAATCTCCATCCTTGGAGAAAGTCACAAGCCACCTTGGCAACTGGCTCTTGGTATCCCTGCTTGAGCAGAGGGGTTGGACCAGATGGCCTCCAGAGGCCTTTGAGCTCAGCTGTTCTGTGATGCTGTTTCCAGTAGTGTATCAGCAGTAGTACATTGAGTCATATTGAACATATAATGTCATTAAAGCATCATCAAGGCTTCATATGAGATTAAACATTATGACTTCACTTAAAAAATCAGACTGCAGTGTATCAGGATGACACCAGCCTGGGCACCTGGTAAAACTACACAGTGCCATCCTCACTCCCTTGCCTCCCCTGAGGCTGCCTGCCTTCCCCCTCCACCGTACAGACTTCGGGAACTTCTCACATGTTCTCAACTATGTTCTTGCCTCTGTTTCTCCTCCTCAGATAAGCCCAACCCAGGGCCACCCCGTGCTGGCAGAGGAGCAGGGAGAAAGGAAAATCTGAAAATATCAGCAAGTATGGCCAGCAGAGCCAGGGCAGTGATTGTCCCTCTAGAACTCAGTACTGGCAAGGCCATGCCTCAAGTTCTCTCTCCAGTTCTGGGCCCCTTGCCACAGGAAAGACATTGAGGTGCTGGAGCGAGTCCAGAGAAGGGCAACAAGGCTGGCAAAGGGTCTGGACCACAAGTCCTGTGAGGAGCAGCTGAGGGAGCTGCGGTTGCTTATCCTGAAGCAAAGGAAGCCCAGGGAGGCCCTTATGGCTCTCTACAGCTGCCTGACAGGACGGTATAGCCAGGTGGGTGTCAGCCTCTTCTCCCAGGCAATCAGTGACAGGACAAGAGGACACAGAAGTGTCCTAAAGTGTGCCAGGGCCGGTTTAGATGGCACGTTAGGAAGAAGTTCCTCACAGGAAGAGTGATTGGGCATTGGAACAGGCTGTCCCAGGAGTGGGAGAGTCACTGTGCTCGAACTGCTTAAGGAAAGATCGGACGTGGCACTCAGTGCCATGGTCTACTTGACAAGGTGGAGCTCGATCACAGGCCGGACTCGATGACCCCACAGCGTTTTCCAACCTAAGCGATTCCACGATCCCGGAAAAGACAGCAGGGGCAGCCACCGAACCTCCCGCCCCCCCCTGCGGAGCCAGCCAATCACAGCTCAGAGAGCGGCCCGCCCCGGCCAATCAGCGCGCCCCGGGCTTGAAACGCGCCAAGTCCCTCCGCATGGGCGGCCGGGCCGGGTGAGGGCGCCATGTCGGACTGGGACGCGAGCAGCGACGAGGAGCTCGGCGCGTCGGATTGGCCGCGGGCCGCTGCTGCTGCCGAACCGCTGTTCTGGTCGCCCAGCGCCCCTTCATGGGGCCGCGCCTCCGTGGAGGGCGGCGACCGACGGGGGAAGGGCACGGGGAGTCCCGGAGGGGAAGAGTGGGACCCGCGAGGCGCTGAAGGCTCCGGCGGCCCGAGGCGGGCGGCGTGGCAGCGGCCGCCCCGAGCTGCGGCCGGCCAGGCTCGGGACTCTGCGGCGCCGCTCTGCTTCCACCTCGATAGCGCCCTGGTCGGGGCTCTCATAGGTAATGACGGGTGCGCCCCAGGCCTGGTGCTTAACCCGCTGAAGTAAGCGTGTGGGAGGAGGGGGGAGACGCCCCTCCCCCGGTGTCCTGAGGGAGTGCGCCCCTGCCTTCCATCAGTCCGGCCGTGGAAGGGCCCCTTGCAGTTCCTGGGCATGTCAGGGTGCTTTTGCAGGGTTTCTGCCACTCGACAGGGAAACTTTTCCTCTATAAAGCGATTGCGTTGACGTCTGTTTCTCAAGGCCAGCAGTATGCAAGTGGTCTGAAGCGCCTCTAGTCGCATGGAGGAAGGGTGACAATCTCTTGATCTAGTTTTACTCCTCCATCTCTTCTACTGAAGGTCATTCCCTTGCACACAAACATTGCATTTGGTTAATTGATGAAAGAGTTGCCTAAAGTCTCTAATGGCCTGGTGTCACGTGTTCTTTTATGTGTAGATATATGCACTCATATGAAGGTCTTGGGGTTGGTCATGAACAAAAATACATACAATTAATATGTAGGTTTAGGCAGTTTGTCCTAAATCTCTGTAATACTTGCTGTGTATCTTTATAACAGGTCGAGGTGGAACTAAAATTAAAGAAATTGAGAATTCTTCGGGTTCCAAGATAAAGGTACCATGTGCTGTATGTTGTCAAGGAATGGGCTGTGTTGAGAGCATACTTGGTTTTGTTTCTGTGTAAGCCAGTAGGAGGAAGTTGGAGGGTGTTACAATAGCTGCAATTATGCCACTGTTTTATAATTGGTAAAAAGAAAGTGGAAGTGAGGGTGCAACTTGGATGTTATATGAAAATAGGAAAAGGTTATTGATTTTTTTTTCCTTAAGTTTGCATTTATTTCCTTTTCTTTTAGAAAAGGGATTAAAGGGCCTTTTCATAGAACAAGTTAAACTTCAGGATAAAAAAAAAGTATCAAAAATTGTTTTCGGTGTGTGTTGTATAGTGTTTCTCTATGCAGTATGGAAAAAAACTCAGAGGTGTTTTTAACCTAGGTTACAAGAGGAACATATGAATCTGAAGTAAAGATTTTTGGCAGCACTGATGTGCAAAACAAAGCCAAGATGTTGATTGACAATCTTGTCACAAATTCTGGACAAAACCATATTAGAGGTGGGACAGAGAAGGGTAAGAAATGTGGGGTTGGGGAAAAAGAATTATGAATTATCTTCCATATATTTGGTAGTTTGCTGGAATATTTTTATATTGTTAGTATTTTACGAAGTAAGTTAACTGTTAAACCTTTTTCTTGGGCAATGGCATATTCTTAAATCAGAAATACCAAGATATCCTCCTCTTTTCAACTGTTGACAGTTTCCCCCTCCCCCCAGACTAGCAGCTTCAGTAAAAAAACAGTTCACATGTGTTTTCAACAATTTTATGGATGCAGAATGTTACACCACTTTGGCTTCTTGCATTATCAATCTGATTCCTCCAAAATACCAGTATTGGCTCTAGTGCAAGTTTTAATCTGGTATCTGTGGAGTATTACAATTCAGTAAACTTTTGTACAGATAGTCTATAAAGTGCTCATCATTGCATGGGCATGATGACTTCCTACTACTTTCAAGGGAAGTTAATGTTTTAAGATTGGATGTTGCACTTCGTGCCTGGCCTTACTAGGTTTTTCTGTGGTAGCTTTGTTACATGAATATAGAAATAATTTTTGTACATTTGGATGCTGCTTATATTATTGGTATGTTTTGTGTGTGCTTACAACAATTTTTTGCACAGGCAAACACCATCCACAGTTTTTTTCTGATGCACTGATGAGGAAGAAAGGATCCAGGAGTTATGTTCCAGCATTAGAATAAGGATTACAGTAGTTATGTGGGTTTTTTTTAGAAGTGTCCCAGAAGGTGGATGAGTATTTTTAAGAGACTAGAAATATTTAAAACTACCTTAGAATTTGTGACAGTATTATCCCTATGTATCCTGCCTTTCCACTAATTTTCCACACAGTTGTGTTGCTATTTATATCTTCAGTGTAAAACTGCACTTCCTTAGGAAGTGTTAGCCTCATCAAAAAAGTATAGAATATAACTAGATTGAGACTTTATTATGATGTTATTGGATGCTTTAGACCTAAGCTTTGCTCTTTTAGCTGTTAAAGCTTTCTGTCTACATATCACCTACTGGTTTCACAAGTTTTTCAAAAGCTTGCTGCAAAACAAGCCTAATTTATAGCTGGAGGAGAAGCATTTCATAACCCATCATTACTTCCTTTAAGTAGCTAAAGATGTTGAAATGATTCCCTTTTTTATCAAAACTTAATTTGTACATATTTTAACAATGTTTCTGGCAGAGATCTAGGAAAGAATTTTCCACTTACATGTCTCATATCTATTTAAAATATATGAGGACTTGCAGTAGAAAAAATGGGTTAGTTCTGAGGGGAGATTTCTCCCCATGGTTTGTTCCATCAAACAGCAGCATTCTGTTACTAACTCTGCAGGAAAAACCTTGGACATTATCAAGACTGAAAATAACCCAAAGAAACCAGTGATTAACTGGGCCTCTCTTCGAGAAAACCGGGCCAAATATGAATCTATGAAGTGGGCAGGTTAGTTTTACAATTTTGATTGTATTATACTTGTCTTTATGTGGTAAATCTGTTGGAATGTTTAAACATTTCTAATACTTGCTTTGAGATGACTGAATCTTTCAGAGCCCAAATTAGTGACATATTTGCAGTGAGCTGGCCATGTTAGCATTTCTCAGCATGGTCATGGAAGACACTGATTACTGTGCCAAGACTTAAACTTGATTCTTGTGATATTTTGAATGTCACCCTTTGAAAATCGTGTTGTTTTGTATGTGGCCACTGGAAAAAAAACCCTAAGAGTTGTTAAATATACTACTGTATATGTTAGTAGAAGTTACTTCAGAGATTGAAATGTGGGAAAGTGGTTTTTTTGCAGATTTTGAAGTGTTTGTCTCAGCCTTCATCTTTTTACATGAGCAATGGTCTTCCATGACTTACAGCTAGTGTCCTTGCTCAAGGCACTTTCTGGGTCCTGGGCTTTCCATCGTGGGCTTTAGCAGACTTACACTGACTCTGTATTATTTCTTGCTGATTCAATTGGAATTTTTCTGATTGTTTAAGGCTTGCCTCCAATTGAGAAAAACTTCTATAAAGAATCATCCAGGACTGCATCCATGTCACAAGAAGAAGTGGAACTGTGGCGGTAAGATCATTTCTTTAGGAAATCATCTGCTTGGCGAAAATTACTATTAAACTATAAAGCCTAGAAAATGGGAGATGAAATACTGAGACAGAGGCACTAGTGCTGGGGTCTTGCAGCAACTTAATCTTAAGAATTCTTTGCTGGGAATGAAACAACTAGTAGATGAGATATTATTAGTTGTCTGGAAATTAACTTTAAGGATTTTATGCTTCTATAGAAGTGTTTGAGCTAGTTGAATTTCAGAACAGAAAAAATTTCGTGACAGTTCACTGACTTTCGGCTGTTTCTTTGCCTTTCATGAGACAGTATGTTCACATTTTCTAGGTCCTTCCAAATAGGATTGTTCACATGTTGAATACCTTTCGGCTGCAATTTTTTTCCCTTCATTTTTTAGTCAAAAGCATTTTCAAACCAAATTCCAACTTTTGTTACTGTTATCTTCCTTTTTTATCTGTCTTGTCCTTACAAGGACATCCTGGTGAGTAAATGCTTTATTTATTTGAACCAACAACCTGTGTCAGTACCTTGCAAAGAAAACAAAACATCTATTTCAAGTGATTGGTTCAGGCCTTGGTAATAGTTACAGCCCCCTTCAATAGTTCTGATGAATTTAGTAAGCATTATTGAAGTGTTTGCTTTTTATTACTTTTCTTTTTGCAAGATGTCTTTTTCTTCTTTTCATGCCAAAGAAACACTGCCACAGTGAGCAAAGCATGGAATTATTTCCAGCTGTTTTCACCTTTTTCTTTAATGTATATGGATGTATCATGGTTAGAGCTAGTGAAAATTATGGAACATTGTTCTTGTAGGTTAAAAATATATACTGAGAAGTAGTACTCATGTGATAAAGGAATTTTTTTCTGCTTCATCTAATCAGTTCGCTTAAAGGAAAAAAAGGTAGCAATTGAAATAAATAATTCTGTAATCATGAGGGGAAGATGAGTTTTCCTAGTTTACACCCCAGTTGAAGAAAAGCTTTTTACTGAATGGAATCTTCAGAGGACTACAGGACTGAAATCAATATGCTTATGCAGATGTCATGGTTTAAAATCAGATGGAAATTAAGCTCTAAGCAGCCACTCCCCTCACCCCCTTTGATGAGAGAGGGACAAAAGGCAGAGATTATGGGTTGAGATAAGAATTTACTGGTAAACATCAATGAGATAAGTAAAACAGCAACACCATCAATAACAACATTGTATAAAAAGTGATTACATGTAAAAATGCTCATGGAAGTTTGACTAGCACAGCACCACCACAGGCAGCACCACTTGGCTCCTGAGACAAAGGAGAAAATTGTGGATGAAGCTGTCTGTGCCCATGTTTATTTCCTCAAGCCTGAGATAACAAAAAACGATGATGCCAAGCCCTCTGGTCAGACCATCCACACCACCTCACCTCTCCATTTGCCATTTGCTCTCCTGGGAAAAGGAACAAAATGGCCATGGAGGGTCATTGCCTTCTTCCACAGGAAACCACACCCCCTTGCTCCTGGAAAGTGAAAATTCTATCCACCCTGCCAGTGTTGATTTGAGAGATACTGAGTAACAATGTAGGCATACCCGCAGGGCTTCAAGCTCCTCTCGCTGCCAGTGCAAGAAAATTAACCTGCCCTTGCTGAAATTAGGACAGCATATTAATAGCTCATAATTAGAGGAAGCCGTGGAACAGCAGTTTTTAATGTAGTCTTTTTTTTGTGTTGTGATTTGGGTTTTGCCTTTTTTTAGGGGCTGGTTGTTCCAGGGGTTTTTTGGAGCTTGTTTTACAGGTCATGTTCTTTTTCCAAAATTGTTCTGTTTGTATTCTCCAAAATATCCAGGGAGCTACTCTGGAAACAGTTGGGAAAGGTTTTTGTCAGAATATAGAATTCTGTCTAATAAGTTCAAGCCATTCATCTAAATTCTGGATTGTCTTCGAGTTTAAAAACTTATCATACCTACTTAAATTTGTAGTAGGGTATAATTGTAGCCTGACAGCAGTGCAGTTCATGTTAATAACCATATATCATTTCAAATGAGGCGTTCTTAAGAAAGAATGGTAATTGATAGCTCCAGGAGAAGTGTTCCTATAGAAAGACTTTTAAGAAAGATAGAAGTCTAATTCAGTCCCATTCAAGAGCCTGAACTTGTTTTTTCTTGTTCAAAGAGTTTAAAAAAAGTTAAGAAACACAGTATTTTTTGTTAGCTCTACTTTTTCAGATAATGAGACTTTAAAACGATTGCACTACTTTATACAGGAAAGAAAATAATAATATAACTTGTGATGACTTAAAAGAAGGTGAAAAGCGCTGCATTCCCAATCCTGTCTGTAAATTTGAAGATGTATTTGAGCATTATCCTGATATTATGGCCAACATAAGAAAAGTTGGTTTCCAAAAGCCTACACCAATTCAGGTATGTGTTCAATTTTGATGACTCTTTAACTGAAGCTTAAGAGAAAAATGAAAACTGCATTTAAGTGTTTGTTGTTTTATGTTAGTCCCAGGCATGGCCAATTATACTCCAAGGAATTGATCTTATTGGTATCGCACAGACTGGTACTGGGAAGACATTAGCATACTTAATGCCTGGATTCATTCACTTGACTTCACAGCCAATGTAAGGACTGCTCACAGGTCTGATTTGTTTAGCTGTGCATACTTCCCCCTGCACTTACTTCCTTCCACACCCAACTCCTGAGATGATTTTCTAGTAATGAAGATAAAAATCATATATTGGAACAAAATCTATAAGTCTGATGGAATAAGCACCAAATTTGTCACCATAGATTCCATTAGCAATGTACAGAGGAAGTTTAGAACAGCATAAAAATGTTCAATGTCAAGGATGATGGACTTTGCCCATCTTTATATACCAACATTCTAAATACGCTTTGTTGCAGATCCAAAGATCAGCGTGGGGGGCCTGGAATGTTAGTCCTTGCTCCCACTAGAGAACTGGCACTTCAAGTAGAGGCAGAGTGTTCAAAGTATGCATACAAAGGAATTAAAAGGTAGTCTTGCTTTTCACTGGCTTGTTAAGTTTTTTTTTTTCCTACGAATTGTGACTAAATTCACCTACACAATAATGGCATTTAGGAGGGGAGGGGATAGTAGTAAATGCAGAATTTATATTTTCCCAGTTTTCAGAATGTCTGTTTTGGCTAATCTCAAGGTCAAAGTCTATGTACCTTTTCTCCTTCTTTTGCTTCTGAGTTGACAGCTAAGAAGAATCACACAAAATATGCTGAGTTGAAAGGGACAAGGATCAGTAAGTCCAGCTCTTAGCTCTGCACAGGACATCCCTGAGAATCACACCATGTGACTGAGAGACTTGTCCAGACATTTGAACTGTTAGGCTGATGCTGTGATCACTTCTCTTGGGAGTCTGTTCAGTGCCCAACCACCCTCTGAGTGAAGAATCTTTTTCTAATATCCAGCGTAAACCTCCCCTAACACAACATCAGGCCATTCCCTTGGGTTCTGTCACTGTCTCCACAGAGCAGAGATCAGTGCCTGCCCCTCCTCTTCCCCTCATCAGGAAGTTGTACCTGCAGTGAGTCAGACAATCCCCTCCCTTGCCCGGCTGTGATGCTGTGCCTGATGTCCCCAGGACAGGGTTGGCTCTCCTGGCTACCAGGGCACTGCTGGCTCATGTTCAGCTTTCCACTGGCCAGATCCCTCAGGTCCCATTCCCTGGCATTACTTTACAGCGTCCCATTCCCCAACATTTCTATATATCCAGGGTTGGCCTGTTCCAGGTGCAGAATCCAGCACTTTCCCTTGTTGAACTTCATTGGTGATTGCCCAGCCTTTTATTTGTCAAGGTCTCTCTAGGGCCTCTCTGCCCTGGAGGGAATCAGCAGCTCCTCCCAGTTTTGTATTGTCTGTGAACTTCCAGTTCTGCCTCCAAGCCATTTTTGAAGATGTCATGAGGGCCAAGGATGGAGCCCTATGGGGCCCTTCTAGTGACAGGTCACCAGTCTGATGTCACCCCATTCACTGCTACCCTTTATGCCTGACCTGTGAGCCAGTTGCTCACTGGTCCCATGATGTGTTTATCCAGCTGTGTGCTGGACTTTTTTCCAGAAGGATACTGTGAGAGATAGTATTGAAAGATTTACTGAAGTCCACATAGGTTACATTAACTGGCTTCCCTTGATCAACTTTGGTGGGTTACATTGTCATAAAAGGAAGCAGGACTTCACCCTCATGGAGCTGTGCTAGCTGTGGCCAGTGAATACATAGTCTTACATTCCCAGAATAATCTTCTCCATAACTTCATCAGGCATGGAAATGAGACTAGCAGGCTGGGGTCCTCCTTGAAAATCAGAGCAATGTTCACCAGCCTCCAGTCAGCTGGGACCTTTCTGGGTTCCAAAGACTGCTCAAAAATCATTGAGAGAGATTTTGCAATGACATCAGCCGACTGAGGATTTTTGTACAAACCCCATCATGCTCCATGAAGCTGTAGAAATCCAACTGGAGCAGCAGATCCCACATAATTCGCAGCTCAACTGGGAGTAATCATTCTTGCATTTGTGGTTCTCCAGCTCAGGGCACTGAAATTTTCAGAACAACCTAAAATATATGAGCTGTCTTTGTTTCATGATTATTTTCACTGCAGGTTCAGCAGAAAACTATTGCTGAACTGTTGAGGGAGTGTCATTCAATGTTAATTTTATTAATTACTGCAGTACTGTCAATCACACTTACTGTGTTCTTTCCTCTTGTTAATACCAGGTGACACCTTTAAAGCAACATGGTGGCATTTATTTGAAAAGGATTGACTTTAACTGAAACTGAATACACCACTTCTGTGAATCTTATCTTTTACAGTATTTGCGTCTATGGTGGTGGGGACCGAAAAGGACAGATAGACACGGTTACCAAAGGTGTGGATATTGTTATTGCTACTCCTGGCAGACTGAATGATCTTCAAATGAACAACTTCATAAATTTGAAGAGCATAACATATTTGGCAAGTAACTGATATGCAATGAGTAATGCACCAGCTGGGAAATGGTTGACTCAGTTTGAATTGAAGCTTTAATGGAATTTTCTTTAAACTTCCAAAGTCCTAATTACACTACATTTTAAAACTGAAATTTATGTTGGTGGGATGATTCATACTTACTATAATTGCATTGCAGATGTGAAATATTCCCTAGGAAAAATAAAATAATCTTCTAGCACAGCAAGCATTTTAAAGATGCTAAATTGTTTTTTCAGGAATGTTTGATATTCTAAAATTAATTTTGTCAGGATTAGTTACTGATGGATGAAATGCCTTTCTACAGTTGTCCTTTCTTTTTAAAGGTTACCAGTGTCTCAGTTTTTTATTAGAACTTGTGCAGTAGCAGAGTCACACCCAGATATTTAAATGTTGGGGAACTGACTTTCTTTTGATCTCACTGGGAAAATAGCCTTATAAATGTTATATTAATCCTTATGTCTTCATTTCATTTTTGCCTTTTGCTGTGCTGAACATGTAAGACCTTTGCTGTTTATAAAATGCTTCTGTATATTCAATTTATTTCTAACTTGCCTGTGAGTTGTTGCCTAATTTGACAATTTGACCATGCTCTCTGTCTACCCCACTACCCTGTGAGAGTTTAATTCTCTCCATGTTGTAACAAGCTAGCTGTAATTACAGGTGATAGTTGTGAGCTTACTGGCAAAGCCAGGGTGGTATAGCATCATTATAAATTTGGCCATTTGGGAAAAAAGTTTATTACTGGAAGACAGGAGAGTAGAGTTCTGTAGAAGACTAACATGTAATTGCTGAGCAGGAGGAAAACAGGTCTGAATACTATAGGAATATAGGTCATCTTTCTGCCAGGGTGAAGTATAGTCATACCACAGGCACACACTGCTTCATAAAGCAGTGGGTATTGAATCAAAAGCATGTTTCAGTATGCACAGCATATACTATAGTAAGACATTGCTAGAAAGAATTAACTATCAAATTGAAAAGTATGATGATGTGAAACAGGCAGAGAGACATTTGTTGTTGGCTCACTAGCAGTTAAATATTTTCAGAAGAACCAGTGCAAGGACTGTGCACTGTGATGTGGTTAAGGTCTCATGCCTCAGACTCTAAGGAAATTCAGTGCTACCAAAGCCCCATGAGAAAAATTGGACCTTGAAAATTCTGTATTTTTGTGATCTTCCTATGTATTTATCCTTGTAGTTACTTGTGCTTTTCAATATATGAAGTATTTTCTATTTCCAGAGCTTCATGGTCAATTTTCAGCCAACAAATAATTTAATCTTGAAGCCTTGCTTTAGGAAAAAGAGAATAGTAATAGATTTCATTTTTATCACTTTGGGTGAAGAACACTCTTCATTGAAGAGCTTCATTTACACTTTTCATTTAAAGATTATTACTGAGTCTTAGGAAGGTTACCAAAGTAAACTGAGTATTACTTGCTTATATGATACAATTGTTTCTCAAAGGACTTCCAAGATCAGATACTAGGATACAATTGTTAAAAAACACAACCAACGGAATGTACCACCTCCCCCCGAAAAAGAAAACCCAAAAAAACCCTCAGAAAAACCAAGCTCTGTTAATTATGTCTGAATAGGTGCCGCATCCAAGGTGAATTTCTCCTCTTGACTGATAGAAGCATCAAGTTGATCAAGTCTTAATTCAGATTTTTAGGAAGCCATTTATTCAAGATAGGCTGCTGTTCTTCAGTATTTCAGAAGTGAGATAGTAAATTCTGCCATAAACAGCCTTTTGATTGTTCAAAATATGTATCATATCAAAATATGCTTTTCGTTTCCCTGTGTTCAGTGTAAATCAATATTCATTCATCAGCAATCTGATGAAGTAACCTGAATTCTTTGGACTTCATGCTGATAAAGCAGAAGAAAGGAAATTGGAATTGTGCATGAATAATTGGAAACATTTAGGAGAAAGTGTAATATAAATATATAAATCATGAAGGAGCATGTAAAAGATAGATTGGAGTAGTGCTTTTATTCTTCAATTTAAGAAATAGTATAAAGCTTACCAATAACTGATTTAAAAAGGAAGGTGGATTTAGCCTTTAATCTTAGTGAAGCAGCTCTCAGAAATAAGAAAAGTAAACTTCAGCTACCCTGATCCATCTATTAGACACAGATGCATTCTTTTCCCCCTACAGCAAAGTGCCAGTGAGCTTAATAGCATAGAAAGCTTCTACTGCTGAAAAAGGCATAGCAGCCAACTCTGTAAAATCAGTGATGTTTTAGCCTTGCTATTCTATTAGAATTCATGTAGTTAATGAAATCTCCATGAGCCCTCTAAAAATAAAGAGAACTAAATCAAGAAATAGAATTCTTGTCATGTCTGTCAGTTGATAATCTGTTATTTCAGAGATTTATGTAGCTAATGTACTAAACCCCTTTAATATAATAAAATATCAGAGAATAATGGAGCAGCAAAACTAGACAGTAGAAAGGGATTATGATCAATGTCTTATATTTCCACATAAGTGACTAGAAATTGTCAATGCTTAAAAGCACAATCCATGTAACTTTAATTTTAAAATAGAGTTTATGTAAATCAAAGGGGATAAATGAGTCTCAGATGTCAGCCTTCTTTCTTTGTATGAGACTGAAAACATTCACAAGTGTCCTTCTTTATTAAAAAACTTATCAGTTCCAAAGAGTTGTTCTCAGACCTCCAGCTCACTTGTTCACTTCTGGATTTTTTTACCAGATGAAACAAGCTTGTGCTCTGGGAGTTGTGCAGTGTCCCAGTGTGAGCCAGAATGTATGCTCTGGCTTTTTTCTTACTTCTAATGAGGAACTAAATTGACAAGTGACATTTTGATCCTGTATGGGATCTCTAATGAGGTAGAAATGAGATTTCACCTTCAAATTGCAACAGTATCTTAATGTGTGTTGAGCAGGTTACTCCCCTCTGGGTTTGGTTGGTTATGGGCTTCTTGGTTTTTGTTGTTTTTTTTTTAAATTTGTACTTAGTTTTAGCCATCAACCTAATTATTGTTAAAACAAACAATTGTTTTTTTCTTTTTTGGCTTTAAATGGTCTTAAAGAGCTGTGCATTGTTTTGCCTGAAAGTATAGTACTGAATGAAAAAGTGTCAAGGAAATTGAAGAGGTAAAATAAAAGTTGAACAGATTTTACAGTAAGTTATGGAGAGGATTCTGCAATTAAAACAGTTGCCATTAAAATATTTTTCTGTGTAATGTCCTGCTGAAAAAAAAACCTTATCTGAGGGACTAGGCAAAATAAATAACCTTGTTCCTGAACAGGTTTTAGATGAGGCTGACAGAATGCTGGATATGGGATTTGAACCTCAGATAATGAAGATCCTAATAGATGTGCGTCCTGACAGACAAACTGTTATGACGAGGTATCTAAACTTAATAGTGCTCAGGACTTGAACATAAGGTTATGGAACAAGTTAACTATTACTGAACAAGTTAATTTCAAAACAATTTTATCAGTTATTAAAATTTTTACTAGTTTTCTTTCTCATTCAGTCTAGTCAGTCCTGACTAGGTATTTGGCAATTTTTATTTTCATTTTGTACAGTCTTTTCCGATGTTTTACATTAAATATAAAGACAATTGAGTTGTCCCAAAAAAAGGAAGGTATCCTGGGAGTGCTAGAATTTGCCATATGAGTTTGAAATGCCAAGTTACACTTCTCCATCTGGGACCAAATGCATTTCCTGACTTTCTAATCAGTATCTCTGCTAGTTTGTACCTGGATTAATTTTGAAATTATGAAGCTTTTGGGAACTTAACAGTCAAATATCCCCAAAATAATTTTTGTTCCCATATTTTGCATTTAAGCTGTTGTTTTAGAAAACAGACTGGAAACTTGCTTATTAGGTATTGTTCGACTAATAAACTCAGCTGAGGCTTCAACAGAAAGGCTCTGTAATTGTTGCCTTTTAAATTACCTTTTAAACTCAAGTGCTGTTTACCATTAATCTAAGATTAGTTAAGCTCAATACCACTACTGCATATGTGTTTCACTGGTATATAAGAAAGGAAACAGAATATGATGAAATTAATGAATTGGAGAAGATTTGCCACACTATTCTCATGCATGTGTGTTTTCCTCTTCACTCCCTGTTTAGTGCTACTTGGCCTGATGGTGTCCGTCGTCTAGCAAAATCCTACTTGAAAAATCCCATGATTGTGTATGTTGGTACTCTTGACTTAACAGTAAGTTGTCCTGTTCTTTTTTGCTTTTTCCCCTTTTGTAGAAGAACCTGTCCTTAAGCGAGGAGAGTTTTTGTTTATAACTAACTGTGTAAATGCACATATCTTTTGTAATCAATCTGAGCTTTCAAGAAATAGCTCCATGCTATTTATTTTAAAATTTCCTTAAAAGTTCGGAAAAATTTAAAAAGTATAAACAAATATTTTTCTATAACAATATCTGGAAGTCTTAGCTCTTCAGTAGAAGACATCACTGGTGACAGGTATCAATCATACTGAATGTTGTACTTCACAGTGCCACGTGTTTTTGTGTGATCCCTTGGTTTTGCAACCTTAATTTTCGTTCAGCAAGTTCTTGTTCTTTACTTGGTTTTCCTTCTGAAAGTCTTCCTTCTAATGCATACAGATCCTTATCTAAATCTGTGTTTCCTAACTGCATTTTTCTCAAATGGAGTGGGAGCTTTGTATTAAACTCTTGGAGGACTCTTGTCCAGAGCAGGAAGTATGTGTTAGAGTATGAACTGTCTTTAAAGTCCAGAACTTCTGACTTGTGGATGTAGTTGCTTATTTGTCATTGTTGTGCAGCTATGGGTAGTTGGCTTCAGTACCAGCAGAATTTACAGAAACAGTAGTTCGCCAGAGATCTTAGGAAATTTTCCTTTTTGCTTCCATTTTTTCTTTTTTTTTTAGTGATAGGGAATGAAGAAACCTAGTATGCAGTACACTTTTCGGTAGAAATAGAGACAAAATGTGCTCTTTGTCTGTTCTGCTCAGAACTACACTTTTATCAAAGAGCATTTCTTGTCAGGATTGGAATTTGAAAGACATAACTGCCGTCGTAGCTCTCTTCATCTCTTTTTACAGGAGCTTGTCTTAATTGAAGAAGTGACATGTGGTAGGGGGGAAGGGTTCCCATGTGGAGAGAAAATTTTTTTGTCTACTTGATTGAGTCTTCAACTCTTGCCACAAGATCGTGATACCATGCCATGAGAATGTCTAGACATTTTATTCTACTTACTAGTTATACCTTAGACATTCTGTGGTAACCTCCAGAGGTAATGGAGTAAAGTTTTTAATGAACTGTTATTGGAATAGTTAGAACTGGTAATTTCAAAGAGATTTACAGCATCTTTAAAAGCCTGTAATTTCAAGTAAGACTGCCATTGTTCCAACTTGCTCTGGATTAACATAAAATACTTGCAAACTGAAGAACTTTGGTGTGTTTTTCACTAATTATTTATTTCGCCTCACTAGTCTGTACCCTTTAAATCTCTGCAAATAAATGATTTGGCAAACTGCTTAAAGATAAATTTTATTTTTATCCTAAAGCAATGAGGAAGTAAGAAATCTGCATTGTTTGAATTCCAAGCTGATACATATTAAAATAAATTTTTATGGTATAGTATATTACCAGTTTTATAACATGGCAATGTGGGAATTAACAGGAAAATATATTATTCTGATCTGTTTCTACCTAACATCCGTTTTTGCTGTTTGACAGGCAGTAAACACAGTACAACAAAAAGTTATTGTTATCCCCGAGGAGGAAAAGAGAACTTTCATGCATAGTTTCATTAAGTCTATGAAGCCAAAAGATAAGGTCATCATTTTTGTGGGAAAAAAGCTTACGTATGTAATCACTTCCCAGTATCATCTCCATTTGGGGTTTCTTTTCCTAACAGAAATACTGAATAGTTTCTTAGTTCACAGGATAACTATCAAGTGTAATAGCTCTTCTCCACAATGTGCTGCTAGTAGTATTATTTTTATTTCTTTCTTTCTTCCTTCAGACTGACTGGCAATTTGTATCTTTTTTTTTTTAATATTGTTAATAGTGGTGGTAAGTCTCAATTTCACTTAGTTCAAGTGGGATGTTTGGATTCTTGGTAATACATGACATAGTACATATGATGTACTGTTTACTTTCATACACCTCTGGTGCATGCAAGACCTGATTAATGTGGGGAGTGGTCATTGTATCATACTTGAACTCTTTGAGAGAACAACACATAATTATCTAGTATTCCTTTAAAGTATAAATAAAGGTAAACAATTCTACATGGATTAGACATGTTTTCCTATTTTATAATAAATATCAACTGACTTTGGTAAAATTTTGTCCTTAAGCACACATTTAGCTTTTGTTGTCATGTTACTGGCTTTTTAGATCTAAATCTAGATACTGCACTATTTTGTTCCCTTTTTCCTTTTGTTTTAAGAGCCATTGCTTTATTTCACCTTAGAGCTGATGACTTAGCAAGTGACTTTGGTATCCAAGGAATTCCAGTACAGTCTCTTCATGGCAACAGGGAGCAATGTGATCGAGAACAGGCTTTGGATGACTTCAAGAGAGGTGAGTTTGTACTGAAGTACTGGTTTGTTTAGGCCAGACTTCTAAAGTTTGTTCTGTTCAAAACTTGTCTGTTTTTAAGTGTCATGTCTCTTTAGTACTACAGAAATGAAAATATTAAAGAGTTCTGAATTATACGTTTTCTTTATTAATTTGACAAAAAAAAAAAGATCCAGCAAACAAAGATACTGGTCTTCAATAAAATTTTGAATGTCTGAGAATTTAATGATTTAAAGTAATGCTTATTTTACCTTTGACATTTCTTTAAAAGTTGGTATCATCTACAGAATGGTAAATTTAAATGTCAGATGATGGTGCTTTCACTAAAACAGTCCTTTTCCAGATTATGCTAGTTGGGTTGTATGAACACATATGTGAACACAATTCAGGATTATGTGAACATATGCTAAAAAAAGACTAGTGCTATGACAAGAGTATCGGCTGAGAATATAGTTGTCTGAAGTTTTTGTTCTTTGGACAGACTCTTTATATCAACCAGGCATATTTCTTGCTTTTCCTGTACTCTGCTGTTCTATTTGTGAAATAAAAATAATAGTAAAATGCCATTTTGGGTGCTTACTTACCAGCTTATATTTGAAGCTAACTCAGTGTGACATGCAACAAGCGTATTTTTACTTTCTGTTAAGAATAATAAGTGCATTATAAACTAGAAAACCAATAGACTGGAATATGTTTTTTGTTGGTTCATTAAACTCCCGTCCTCTTCCTGTCCCTACTTACTGTAGGCAAGGTTCGAATATTGGTAGCTACTGACTTGGCATCCCGTGGCCTTGATGTGCATGATATTACTCATGTTTTTAACTTTGATTTCCCTCGCAACATTGAAGAATATGTTCACAGAGTAGGTCGTACTGGAAGAGCAGGGTAAGTGTTTACCAGAAAATAGTGATGTATTATCAGTGTTTTGTTACGTTTTATGCTCTGCATAGGTGTTTTTCTTGTCAAATGCTAGAGGCTACGGTGATGTGAGGTGGGAGAGTGAAGACTTCAGTCTCTCAAAGTATGTTCTAGAAACACACTGCTTTATATCTTTAAATGAATTCACTGTTAAATTGAAGGCAAAGAAGTTTTGCACTTTTCTGTTATTGAATGAAGGGTGTTTAAAAGCTTGTTTAAATATGAGGAAGAATATGAAAAACAATTTGCATTGATATTCTGGAGTGTTACTTCCTTCTTTATCTCTTCACGAGCAGCTGGTATATTTCGTTTTCTAGACAGCACTTTGAGAAGACGCATCAGTAGGTTCAAAGTGCAGCTGATCATGGTGGTGTAGTTTAGTGGTATTTCTTTTGGATGCTGTTTTCCCAGGCTGGTACAAATGTGATTTTTCTCATTTAATCATGATATGAATGTGTGTCTCTTCATACTTAAATATGTTGCTGTTATGCTATGTTTATTATCTAGAAGTCTAAATTAGTTGTGCATTTGCTCCATTTTAAGTGAATTTCTGTACTCTGATTTTTATGAAAAGTTGCTCTGTCATGTGCAGAGTTAATGCTCAAGCCACTTTTATTCTATCAGCTCAGTAATATTGTCTATAGTACAGTTCATTACTGCCTAGGTCAGTAGTAAAAGCTTGGCAAGAGTTGTTTTGAAGATCTGCAGTTGTTTCCTTCCTTGTTTAGGCGCACTGGGGAGGCAGTCACACTTGTCACAAGCAATGATTGGAGGTTTGCATCCGAGCTGATTGACATTCTGGAAAGAGCAAACCAAGTAAGAATACTTTACTGAGTAAGATTTACATTGGTTCTAGGTTAGCACCTGAAGCTAGTTGTGAAGGGTCTAAGCCTGTTTAGACCCTTCTTGGTGAGTGTTTGTGGAGTTTCAGTCTGCCTTGTCCTAGATTGTCTTAGTTATATTTTGCCTTACAGATGAGTCCCAGGAAGGAACTGTGAACTTTAACCAAAGCCTTCCATGTTCCAAAAAAAAAAAAAGTAACTAACATACACATTGAGGTCTGCAGAGGAATAATAGGGTTTATGTCATAATATTTCAGTCCATTTATATTTCACTTCTGGATGCAGGTACCAATGTTCTTATTTAACAGTGTAAATATTAACAGTACTTATATCAGAAGAAGCTCAACTATCTTCTCAGTTTACTGTATCTGACAGTTGTGACACCTGCATGTACTTTTCCAAGCTATCTTTCTTACTGATGATTGTAAATAGTATGGGAAATGGAACTGGAATATGATCTCTTTCTTTAAAGAAGCATATTTTTTCTGGATACCATCTCTGAGAAAACAGAGACAATTGTGTTGTTGTTTCTTGCTGTATCAAGGAACAATATTTTGCCTGATTTTATAGTAAACTCCCAGTTCAAATCCTGACTTGAGCTGAAATTTTGTTTGTTTGGGTTGTGGTGTTTGCGTGTTTTTTGGATGGGAGTTTGAGTACATACTAAATGGATTTTATCTAGAATCTGTGGCTTTTACTATGGACGCTTACTCAGACTTTAAATCCTGGGTTGGAACTTCACCTGGTCTTCTGGTTTTTTACTCTTCCTTGAAAGATATTATGTTGCTTTATTGCAAACCTAGTAAGATGCTTTTGAGGAAGGAAATGAAGTAAAAAAAGTGTGGAAGAGTAGTCACCTAATAATTCCTTAAAGTTGCAGATTTGGGGGTTTTGGTTGGGGTAGGGTTTGTTTTTAGGTTTGTTTTTTTTGGTTTTTTTTTTTTTTTTGCTTTGTTTTTATTCAGAAAATACAAGAGGTGAAATCAGTAATGATTCTGTGAAGCTACTTTAGAGGTGCCTTGTGTTTTGTATTCTGAGTTAGCAATTGCCTTTCAAGCCTTGTCCCCAGCTGCAGACTGCAAAGTTCCCAAACCGGTTTTGGTTTTTTGTAATATGTGATTGTTCAACTGGGAACAAGTCTCTGAGTTCAGAGGAGAAAAGAGGAACTCTGAATCCTTGCTTTCAGAAGTTACTCTTAGTCACAGCATTCTCAAACTTAGTTATGTCTGATAGAAAGGAAGTGTCCCTACAGATAAAAAAAGTGTTAGGGTTTTTTCTCATGACAATGAAAATACCATAGTTTCAAATAGTTTCGTAGTCTTAAAAGTAAGAAGAGAACTGAAGGTTCAGAATACTTCGATTTCAAAACAAGTTAGCTGATTTTGTTAGACAAATGTTCTCTGTCATTTTGGATCTACAGATTATGTAAAGTAAACAGGTTCAACAAAAAGGTGTCTGTTTCATGCTGAAGGAATATTTTGTATATAAAAGCTTATTAAGAAGCATGGACAGATTTAGTGGAAAAACAGTAATCTCTGAAAAAAAAATTCCATATAAATTATGGCATCTTTCTCACTTGGACTACCCTACCCTAGCTTATATGTTTAGCAAATACACTGATTGTTCATGGCCAATCTCAACAAGCCACTAGATACTGGATATTACCTCACTGAGATTTTTATGTTTCTGTATCCTCACTTCCCACTCTTGCCTTGTGCTTGCTCAAAAACCACTCCTGCAAGAAATTGTTGTGATTTTAGTTTGGAATGTTAGGCTTCAAGCTCTAGGGGAGGATCTGATACTGGGGAAGAAAATCATACAATGTTTCCATGGAAAAATGACTTTGTCTCATTACTTCTATCTCCATTGACAAGTCTGTTGTGACTTTGAGCTAGAGATAAATAATTTTTATTTTTAAATAACGTTTGGAACTTAGGCAGAATGGACTCTTCCAGAGTTGTCATATTTTGCCAGGATAGTTGCTTACCAGTAAAAGCAATTCACATAAACATACACCATGCCTGCTCAAGAAAAAGTTGCTGATGGCAACAGCAAGTATTGCTCAATTTTAAAGCCTGACAAAAGAAATGGAAACCAGAGGAATATGACTTCCTGCTCCACCACACCTTTGGTCCTGGCTGCATTCTCCACCTGTTCAAGCATTGCCAGGCACTTACTTATAGGGGAGATTTTAAGGTATTTACATTTGTTTTCACTCTGCTGTTTGCACTGTATTTGTGCCACTGGCAGACACAAATCACACAGACTGAGGAATCACGTTAATAGCACGTTCACACACTGCCCTTTGCTATGATCAGGAGACTGATTGTGGATGGGGTGACCCACTGACGGCCACGTGCCATCACGGATTGTTGAAGTGGGCTGGCTTTGACAGATCAGTGATCCGAGACCTCTTGACAGTACAGTTGCCCACAGTGCTTTTTGCAGTAAACATTGCATTAATGTCAGCATTATGCCCCACCTGGTTTAAGAAGTTGTTGGATACTGCCTTTGTTCTGTGAGCAAAAGAAGGGTATCTGGCTTTTCTTTTTCTGTCACTCAGCCTAATAAGTCTGTTTGTAGTTCTTCACATCTGGTCTCAGTCGTTAAGAACTCTGAAGTGAGAGTGTTTTGATTGTACTATTCACCTTTTTCCACATAATTACAAGCATGCCAAAAACCGCTGTGGGTTATGTAATGCACTCTTGCCACCTCCCAGTGGTGGGAGATCTGACCATTTTCTCCTGCCCTTCTTTCCTTGTCTTTTAGCTTTGTTCTAAGCACGTGAGAACCATTCCTATGACAACACTTCCTTTAAATCACAAAGTTTCTCTCCAGAGGCTCTTAAAACTTCCATAAGAAATTTAGTACAAATAAACATTCAAATATATGTATATAGTATATCATCACCTTTAAGTGGCACTGGATGTTTTTACCAGCTGTTCTTTATAACTAAAAGATATATTTGTTTGAATTTTAATGTTGTAATTAGCTGGTAATATGTTGCCATCAGATATGGTGATACAAGTATAGATACATTATTGAAAATCCAGAGACACTATGATGAATATTTTCCAGTATATTTCAGTAAAATTTATGTAAAAAGATTTCTCTCTGCACTTCTACAGAAAATAATCTGCAAAGTGACAGTAGCCAGATAAATAATGAAATCAAGTTTGGGAACACAAAAATCAATAGCATTTTTCTAAAGCAGAATCTAAAAGTTTAGATTTATTTAAACTTCACCTTGGTTTTTTTTGCCTGCTTTCTTATTAGGTAGTTCCTGACAAGCTTATTGCAATGGCAGAAAGATACAAGCAATCACAAATGAGAAAAGAAATTGAAAAGGATATACAAAGACCTTGGAGAAAGCCCTCAAAATCAGTGTAATCCCTTGAAGCTACTGAAACAGAGAAAGTGATTTTAAGTAGTGTTAGCATCCATGGGCTTGAATTTCTAAGTTTCATTTTGTGTTTGATTGTTTTTTGTACCTGTCCTATTTAAACTTCTCAAAAGCGTCTTGGAAAAGAAAACTGGATTAACCTTATATAGGAATAAATCTAGTTTTGCACTTGAACACTGTTTTCACGTAGAAATTAATTGTTTTTTTCTTGTGTGGTGTATGAAATTTCTAAAGCCATTATCTACTGGTTAAAAACAAATATTGTGGTTTTGTTGGTTTATCTAGGGTTTTTTTAGTTAAATGCAGCATTAATATATAAGAATGTAAAAGATAACTTTTCCTTTTACATTCAGAGAACCGTATGCATTGTAAGCAATGTTTGTCAATGTAGTTTCAAAATACTGTACCTTTGCCTTGATATGCTGCTGGCATGCAGAAGTATTTCTCAGGATAACAAAAACTGCTCTGTTTGCCATTACTTATGTTTGCTGAAGCAAGTTTTCTTTATTCTTATTTTAAAACTTAATATTGGAGGTCCTTTTTAAGACTTGTGTGTCAAGATTTTTTGAGAGAGGTCTGCATTTTCTTGTAATGATAAGAAGTACTACTTTGTGGCTAACTGGGGAAGCAAACCAGCTTCTACTCTGTTTTTTGTGGATGTAATATTCTAGCTTAAGGAATAAAGCCATAATTTACTAGAAAAATGTTAAAAGTAATGGAGAAAAGAATACATTTGAAGGTCAGCTTTTATTTCTTCCAGATAAAGTTGATTCACACTTTACATTTGAATGTCAGGTTCTGTCACACAGAATGGGGCATATTTTCTACTCTTTGAAATTTATATGGGAAGGAGTTATTCCTTCATTTGATGCTTGATCTGAACTTGTGTTTATTTATGTGTCATACAATTAAATAAAAACTAATAAACAAAATTCAGCAAAATGAGAATATTTTAGTAAAATTATTCTCTAAATATTCTTCCCTCTTAGTTTGCTCATAATTGAGGTAAATCTGGGGATTATTCAAGCCAGTAGGTTATTTTGCCTTCAAAAAGTAGGCTAAAAATATGGACTTCCCATGGCTCCTATAAGTAGAAGCAAAAAAAATATTTATTTGCAGCACAGCAGTTCTCAAATGCAGTGTGCTTCTCACCTGCACAATTTTAGTAATAGGAAATATTACAATTACTTTTTTTTCCTAACACACATTTCTTCAATATGAGAACTAGATATGAATTTCAGTTTCAGGCGTGTCTAGTTCTTGTTGCATTTTGGTTTTGATAAACCTTCTTATATCAAGAGTCTTCCTCTTTGAAACAGGTTGAAAGATGCATTTCTTTCTACATGATTCATCATATAAATAAATGCTCATTGGCACAAACCATCTACTCTGTTGCAGTATATTAGGTAACAATTGTTTCCCATCCAAAGTCCAATCAAAAGACTGATTTTGAAAGTAATCCTGGAGACTCAGAAAAGATAAGTTACTTCAGTAACTTAGTATTACTCAGATAAAATATTCTGTCTCTGCTGTTGCTGGTAATTGTCCTCTGCAAAAGATCTTCATCCACACAGGTGACCTGGAGAAATTTTTCTGGTTAATGTTAATGTAATTCCAGTGACTTTTTTTTATCTTTTGAAAGCAGGAGTGTATTTTGGATATTCTGCAGTGGATCTTAATTTTAAATAAAATTGTCATTTTTCCCTTTATGCAGTCGATGCCTTTGTATTTGGAAACGTAGAAATTACATGTGGGAAATTAACTATTGCAAATTCTTCTATATGTTCTTAGTATACCTTGAAGATATGTTGCAGGTGACATATACATTTGGATAGACAAGGTAAATATTACTTTAAACACTTCTTGTAAGGGTTATGTCTAAGCAGTGTGACCGAAGTATGCATTTTCCTTTTGGTGTTTTTAATTTTATTTTGGTTTGGTTTTTTTGGTTTTGTAGTACCAGACTACTGAAGAGTAGTTTATGGTGCAGAATTTTTTGTTTCAAATATGCAAGTCAACATGATTAGATACCTATTGTGAACAATGTCCTTAATAATTCTCATGAAATACTGGGAATCCATTGTTCAATTCATGGCATATTTTTCTTGAAAGAAAATGATGTTTTGCCTTATCTTCTAGGCTGAGTAAATTGTATTGGGGAATAAAAAAGTGAGTCAGCTGAGACCTCTGCAGACAATCCACAAAAAATCTCAGACACTGCTGAAAGCAATGATCCAGGTCTCCCAAGTGCCAGTCTGAGTCATTTGGCCATGTCACACAGGAGTGGAGAAAAGCAGTTTTGACATGATATGAACAGAATTTTTCCAGTTCTTTGGGATATTTCATTTTAAGTTGCTCTAGAAGATACTTCAGCAGCTTAAGACAACCTTTCCTGTAAAAAAAAAAAAAATTAGGTACCTTCTCCATAGTTCTAAATATGTAGTTCAGGTATTTAAACACTACTATGCATTCTCTTGTGGCTTTCTTGATTCAGTACAAAATAAAATGGGCAAACCAACTTCTTAGTTTGGTTGTTAAGGAGGTTTTGTACCTCATGGGTTTTCTTCCTCGTTGAAGAAATCTGGAAAATAGTTGTCATAGAAGGGATTAATCTTTCATTCATCTTGATCTCATTCAGCAGTTTTGTCGCCATCATTTTAGAAATTGCCTTGATATGAAGTGTAATTTTGCTGAGAAAGTGGAGTCATCACTTTTTAAAGCTGTTTTGTCTAAGCAGGACTATATTTGGGAAAGATAATTTAACAAGTCACATCTTTTTGCATTCTAAGATAAGTGTAGAGTGTAGACCAGCAATGTGATTGTTTCCACCTTTCATTAGCTAAGTGCAAGTCAGACATTCAGCAAGCACATGCAGTGTTGTATTGCTGTAGAAGAGTTATGCCTAAAAGACTCTTGCTTCCTATTGTGAGTAATTACTGTTAGATCTAATTCTTAAGTGCTAAACTGAAACTGTGGTAGTTGTAGTGCTAGCCCAGCTCACACAGGCTTAAAGTAAAATATTACTGTGAAATACCAACCTGCAGCACTTTGGTCCATCAGATTCACAACATGTCTTTGAGTTGCCGTGATTCTTTATGATGTCCTTTTCGATATGCGAGAAGGAGAGTCGCCAAGTGTTCCCTGAAGTCAAGCACAAGTGTTAAATGTTTACACAGCATTAAGCATCAGCTTTTGTAGCTAGGAAAAAACCCCTAATTTTGCAACTGACTTAAATACCAGAAATTTTTGCACCCACTAAAAAAATCATAATTCAGTGAATGCAGTTCCTCCTTAACTCCCCAGCTGCTTTGCGAAGACAATCAGAATGTAATTAATATAGGACATGATTGTTTGGTGCTTTAAATTCCTGAGGACGTTTGGATTTACTTTAAAATTAGGCTTAATTCTTAAAATCTCTGGATTTGCTGAACATGATTTAGAGAACTGCATTATTCATGGACATCTACAACCTTTTAATTTCTCTATTCTTATTGTGTTTTCTGGATTTTCTTTGTGCAAGTAATAGGTTTGTGAGTTTGTTTCAGGTAAAATGACTGTTGTAAAGCACTTCTTTTGTTCTTCTGCTCATGCCTCTGAAAATAATTGCTAATATAGCTCAATGCCCTGTTTGTAACACCAGCAATCACTTTTTGTCTTCTTTTCATGAACTACACGCTTTCCCTTGCCTGTTTGGCTCAGTTACTCTTTGCATAATTTTCACAGGAAGAAATTGCCAAATAAATCAGTACTGCTGTACTGGGCTTTGATAACATGGGCATCCTAATTAAAAAGGTACCAGAATGATTGAAATCTTTTTGCTGAAATCATCCGTTATGCATTGACAAGTCAGAATGTTTCTGCAAACTGAAGGAGGCTCAATGTGACAGTGGTCTGGAGGAAAAAATGTAGCCATACCAGAGTTCAGTGAGAAGTAATGTCTTGATAGAAAGCAGTTTGCTTCCTGCAGAAGTATCTGATTTGTGGATGCAGTCCCAGTATGGGGATGTTACCTGCATTTATTAGCAACTTTCTTCTAATTTCCTTACAAGAGAGTGCAAGCTGCTGTTAAGTACAGTGCTAGCACGAGGAAGGGCTCATATCCATGTGTCTGGCTGGAGTGGATTTAATATAATGCTCTTAGTAATGGTTAGTGTACAGCCTGGCAGAGTGGGCTTCTTTTACATTTCAGTACAGGACAAGCATACCACAGATCTGCTTTAAAGAGGGATTTCAGTTGTCTGAGCTGGATATATCCAGGATGAGATGTCTCAAAGGCAGAATACTGAACATGATCTGGATACCCTTTCTATAGCACTTGTAAGTGATCAAGTTTGTAGAGAAGATATTTCATAACTTATTATTGTCCATATTTGAGGTACCTCTTAGAACTTTTTCGTTCTTGTTTTGCTTGGCCACTAAATAAAGTGATTTAAATCTCATATCCCTCCTGACTTTTGTTCCCAGCCACTGTTCAATTTTGAGGCCGGCCTGTGTGCTGAGGGGCCAGCTCTGCTGAGCCTCCAAAGTCAAGATGATGTCCACTGATATTTCTGATGGAGGATTTTTGATCTGAAGAGTTATTGCAGGACATCCAGCCTTTTTCCTTGCCACAGTGACTTCCATATCTAGTAACAAAGAAAGTGATATTTCATATTAGATAGATTAGTAAGATGAATTATTATTTTTTTAAGAATGTTAGTTTTTACTAAGGAGCTCATAACCAATCAAAAGAAATACCTAGGTTCAGTCGCTGGTTCTTTATCCTACAGGATGTTGAAACATTGAGAAGGCCTGTTGAGTTCTTTGAAACAAGGAACACTACTGTGTTTTCTTGATTTACTGTCTAAGAATTAAAAATATAGTAATGTTTTTGATTTAAGTGCTTCCCTGTTGAAAACAGACAGTGAAGAGATTTGGCCACAATGTTTTTGAAGGTTTTAGGAAAAAATAACTCTAACTGGGGTTATTTTAATGTAATTGTATAATATATATGTTTAATGTAATTATAAAAATAACTGGGATACAGTTTCTGTATTGATCAGTAAAAAAAATATTACTTACAAAAGCAAGCTCTTTGTTCTGCCACCACTTCAGCAAATGGTTCTTTGTGTACTCCAAATAGATGCAAGATATATAGGTCATGCAGGAAATACCAAGCATGCAACAGAACCCTTAATGTTTATTATTTTCATACAGAAAATATGCATAATGGAGTTAATAATGTAACAAGTTACCTATCATGTACTTTGATTCTTAACAAGAGAGCCAGCTTGAGATACTGGGGACAAGGAGGGGTTACAGCTCCCTTGGCAGAGATAAGAGGACTGGCAGGAAAATGTATCTTCTTAACACCAAGGCAACACCTACGTACAATGTAACTGGATTTTTTCTACATACTGATGAAGCTTATTAGTACTAACCTTTAATGTTTTTTACTTCCTGTTTAATAATTTCTCGTAGTGCTTGAAGCATTTTAAAGGCTGATAATTTTCCATCTTCCTCTAAAAACTTCAGCCAGCCCTTTTCTTTTGGACTTCTTTTGAATGATACATAATAAAAGGCTCCAGTATCATCAGCCTCATCCAGTTGAATCCTTGGAACAGGCATTACAAGCATGATGTCGAACTCATTTGGTTCAGATATCTGCAAATATGAGAATATAATAGTCAATGTGCAACTTAGGTTTTATTCTCCTGAGATTTTTATACCAGTTGTGCTTTTATCTACCTTGGTGTACTAATCATGTCTGATGTGAAATATGAGCTTATTTCTGTGGTATTGCAAGATTACTGTGCATTGAGGTGGAAACCAGCAATTTACAGCTCACTTCCCAGCTCTCCAACCTATTAGCTTTTTAAGACAGCTCTAAGACTCTTGAGCTGTTCTGAATAATTAATGCATAAACATTGTACTCGGTCAGCCTATTGTGCATCAAAATCAACTATGAGGACAAAAATGCATTACTAGGTCTGAAGGTGGTTTTAGACAGAAAAAAAAATAAAAGTTTGACTTTCCTTCAGTCTGCTGGAGCCAGGAAAAAAGGTACTGGTCAATCACAGAAGGTGAAGAGAGATACAGCTAGTCCTGACCCACCTTGGGCAGGGGTACCTGCCACTAGACCAGGTTGTTCAAGTCCTTATCCAACCTGGCCTTGAGCACTGCCAGGTTTGGAGCATCCACAATCTCTTCAGGCACCCTATATCAGTATCCCACCACCCTCATAGTAAAAAAATTCTAAATTTTCCTCCTTTCAATTTGTATCTGTAACTCCTACTTTTTGAAAAAAAACCTGGCCCAGGGCTTCTCGTGCAGTGTTGTTAGACAGGGCTCACCTGCGTGCTGTGCAAGGGCAGGGCTGCTGCAGCTTGAACGCGAGTCCCGTTCAGGTAGCATCTCTGACTGAATGCACATAGCACAATTCAGCAGGTTACTGATCGTTTTATAAAGCATTGTGGTTATTTCACAGAGCCATCCTTGATTTTAACTTGTCGGGAAGGGCCAGCTAAGAGCAGTTGCCACCTGCTGCCGCCCCCACACTCACCTTGACGCGCTCGTAGTAGCTGCCGGCGCTCTGCCGCTCGATGGAGCTGAAGCAGCTGTCCTTGGCGCGGATGGCCTGGACCAGGTGCGAGACGACCGGGTTCACCAGCGTCGCCGCCTCGGACACGTCGTCGCGGGCCAGGCTGAGCCGCGACAGCACCTCTCGGAGCCGCAAGGCGTCCGCCGCCGGCGGGAGGCGACGGGCGGGGGCAGCGACCGCCCCGTCGGGCACCGCCGCGACGCTCCGCGGGGCCGCGGGGGCTCTGGCGGCCGGCGCCTTGCTCCGCGGGGCGGGGAGCGCCTCTGCGCCGCTCGCCGGCAGCTCCCGGGCAGCGGGGGCTCGCCGCGCCGAGCGGCTGCCCCGGCTGGGGGGTCCGTCCGTCCGCGGTGCCCGGGGGGTCGCGGCGCCTCTCAGGCTTTCACCCGCGACGCGGCCCCGCGATGGGCTTCGGGCTGCGCCCTTCTCCGCGCCCCGGCTCCGCGGAGCTGCGGGACGCGTCCCCCGCCTGGCCCGCGCCCCTCTGCTGCCCGCGGCGTCCATGGCCGCTGCTCCCTCTCCGCTCCTGCGAGACGGCGAGCGCGGCCCCGCGAGCAACGGGGTTCCCGCCTCTGGCTTCAGGCGAGTTCCTCTTCCAGGCAGCGCGCCTCCCCTAGGAAACGAAACCCAGCGAGCGGGGCGGGGGCGAGGCACTGCCCGGCGCCGCCAACTTCAGCCCGGGCACAGGGAAACTCCGGTAGCAACAACCGAGCTGCGGCTTCTCTCCAATCCTCGGGGAGAGTTTTCCCGCTCCCCGGCGGCTCCTCCTGCCCGCCCGCGGAGCAGAACACGTGAGCACCGGCACCGCCCGGCTTTCGCAGCCGCACGGGGCGCCAGGACGGGCGGCCGCGGGGAGGCGCCCGGCCCCGCCGCAGCTGCCGGCCCCGCCTCTCGCTCCGGAGCGGAGAAGCCGCGGCAGAGCTCCCGCCCCAAGCTCCCGCTGCCTGGAGGGCCGGCCCAGCCGCCATGTTCGTGCGGAGCGGCTGCCGCCGCCTGCCGCTGCCCCCGGCGCCTCGTCCCGGGCACCGCCGGGCGGGCAGCGAGGTCGGGGCGGCGGCAGCGCCGCACTACGAGGTGGTGGTGATCGGCGGGGGCCATGCGGGCACGGAGGCGGCGGCGGCGGCCGCTCGCGGCGGGGCCCGCACGCTGCTGCTCACGCACAGGATCGGCACCATCGGTACCGCCGCGGGTGCCCGGGGTGGGCGGGAGAAGCTGCCGCGGGCGCTTCGGGTTCCCGCGGCCTGGGGAGCGGCGCTGAGCCGGGGAGGTCGCGGGAGCCTTTGCGCCGTGCTGAGGGTGTCCCTCTGTCATTGCCCAGGAGAAATGTCCTGCAACCCGTCCTTCGGCGGCATCGGGAAGGGGCACCTCATGCGGGAGGTGGACGCCCTGGACGGGCTGTGCGGCCGTGTGTGCGACCGCTCCGGCGTTCACTACAAGGTGCTGAACCGCTGCAAGGGCCCGGCCGTGTGGGGCCTCCGCGCACAGATCGACCGCGGCCTCTACAGGGAGAACATGCAGGTGAGGGACCGCGCCGGGGTGCTGGGAGTCGGGATACGCGACTGGGGATTGCCAAGGAAGGGGCTGTGTTTAGCTTTTCATTATTTACCGATCAGACCTAGATACCTTTCTGTTTGGTACTTTGATGTTGTAAGTTGTTTGTAAGTTTGGTAAGTTGTTGGAGCTCAGCACAGTTTTAAAAACTCTCTGGTGTTTTCGATACTTCATGACCAAATAGTTTATTTGAGCTAAAACTTTATGTGAATGAAAACTTCTACCTCATAGATCAGGATAGTACCATAACTGAGTGTCTGCCAAATGACCTGGTAAGAATGGAGGTGGGTAATAGATGTTTCAGAAATCAGCAGGGCTTGGGATTGCCCATATGTCTCATAACTTCCTAGATTTTTGCAGTAACTCCTTTCATGACAGAAAGAAATCCTTAACACACCACTGTTGACAGTTCGTGAGGCATCTGTGGAGGATCTTCTTTTGACAGAGCCAGAACCAGGCCGTCCTGGGAAATGCCAAGTAACAGGAGTTGTTTTGGGTATGTGCTAGAAACTCACTAAATGCCTTCAGTTACTCCCCACTAAGAGCAGCCTTTGGGGTAAATATTTTTGATTCACCAATAAGAAAGATGAACTTTACTATTCTAATCCATTAGTGAGAAAGATGAATTAGCCAACAGAGCTGGTTAGGCAAAGTGTGAGCTAAACTAGGTTAATATGTGTAATACAATATCAAAAATATCTGGATTAGTAGTATACTGGGACGTTAACTAAGTTTATTTTCTTCAGGCTAGTGATACTGGATTCCATGCTGTGTTTTGAGATTTTATTTGGTAATTGGTGTATGCTGCCCTCGATGTTACAGGACCATGGGGTCCTATTAATAACAGGCTTGTACTTTGTTACCCCTTGCTGTTCTAATTAACAGGCTTTCCAAAGTAAAGGCTTGGGTACGGGTTTTTCCCAGGAGTGGTTTTCTTTGTTAGGGGTAACTTGCTTAGGAATAATAAAGATACAGAAATAAATATATGCTGCTTATTGTAGTTATTACTATTGATGCTTTTATTATGGAAATGCTGGTATTATTTTATAATAGAAGACAGATAAACCCCCAGTGAACACTGTTAGTCTAGTTTTAGATAGAAGCACCAGAATTCTGAGGCTTTGTTGACACTAAAATGTGTACATCTCTGAAAACTTGCTGTTTCAGGGGATGGGAGCACAGTACGTGCTGGGAGTGTTATCCTGACCACTGGAACGTTCCTGAGGGGTATGATCCACATTGGACTGGAGATGCACCCAGCAGGGCGGCTGGGGGACCAGCCAGCCATCGGGCTGGCTCACACTCTGGAGAAACTGGGATTTGCTGTGGGCAGGCTGAAGACTGGGACACCGCCCCGACTTGCCAAGGATACGATTGACTTCAGTGGTCTGGAGGAACGTGCAGCTGACAACCCCCCAGTGCCCTTCAGCTTCCTCAGCGAGGCTGTGTGGATCAAGGTGGGACAGCGCCCATCAAAGGCACACAGAGCCAGCTGGGGAGTGGATCTGGGAACGTTGTGCTCATTATCAGCCAGGGAGTTGGTGGCTGGGAAAGGCAGCTGGGATGTATTTGCGAGGGAGAAGTTAGTTGTGTTCTTCTGAAAGCAAATACCTTTTTACTCTCACTTCTCAACTTGATTGCTTCTGGAGTCAGAGTTGTGTGAAATGTGATAACTGGTACTAGTACTACTCTTCATGTGCTGGTTACGTGGCTGTTTTTACAAAATCTTCCAGTATTACACCTGTATTGTGGAGATTAATAGTGTCTGGCTTCTTATCTTAGCTCTGGAATAAGGTTAAAATGTTGAAATTGGAGATCATTTGTAGTATTGACTAGGAAAGAGAAAGGATGGATTTATCCACAGAGCTGAGAGGTGGCAGCTTAACAGTAACTTAAAAGCAGAAGAGGTTCAGTTTTCTGAAGAAAATCGGCTGTTTTTACATAATGTAATTAAACAGCACAGAATGAAGTATCAGGAGTTAATTTGCCCCAGAGGATATAGGAATTGCAATAACCTTTTATTATCGGGATGGGGCAAAATTAGTATCACTTGAAGTCCTCTGCATGTGCGGGAGAGGTTTTGAAACAAAGAGTTTTAATTCTAAGTGCAAAAAAGCTGTTAGACAAGCATGACTAATAACAATTTTGAGTCAAAATTTAGAACATACCGGGAATTTATTCGCCATAAACATGTTCAAAGAAACAACAACTTTCAGACATTTATATATGTGATAACATCCAGGATTTTTTATAGACACTCCCAGAAGTCTGCCCAATTTATTGCATCATGGTATAGGTGTTCTGTTTCTTTTATTACTACCAAAACATCTCATGTGTCTTTGTTTAATGGATAACCCAGGTTTTATCGAGCATAAATTTGCTCTCCTGGTTAGACAGTTACTGTTGATTAAGTTTTCTGGGGTGTAAAGGCCTATGAGGTGGCTCTCTTACTGCACCTGCAATGTATTAATCAAGTTTTCTGGGGTGTATAGGCTTTTGACTTCTTAACTTTGTCAAGATAGCTTTCTTGCACTATGGTATCTAATTCATCTCGAGTTACATAAGAACCATTGAACAGTTCTTTATTGAATTTTGATCTTCAACTGTTGATTAAGTTCTCTAAGGGGTATGGGTCCATGGAGTTCCTCTTTGCAGGTGCACTGAGATGATTTCTCAAGGTTTTGTACTGACACTCAGCCAACACAGATGTAAATCAAAACCATGTAAAATCACGAGGCTCTTGGCTAGCTAATATATAACTCACTGGCAGTTTTAAATAGTTATGGTGCTATATTATCGATATTTTGAATGTGAGTCTATTGACTCTTTTTCAGAAAAATCCGTGGTATACTTTACATTAGGCTTTTTCCAGACTTTGAATTTTTCATGTTAATTGCAGAGTTTTGAGGTTTATTTTTTTTTTTCTCTCGAAGGGAATCTTTGTTTTCCTTCACCAAACCCATTAATTGGCTGTTAGCTGTAGGGTCAGCACTTACTCTTCCTACTCCAGAGCTTGTTTTTTTTTCCCTGTGGTCAGTTTGAATGCTGTGATGTAACACAGCAGTTGATTTAATGAGAATATCCATCCTGTAATTAGGAATATGGCATATAGGATAGAACCTGAATCCCAGGCTCCTAACTTCCATCCTGTTCTCAGTCTGGTTTTGGGCATGTTGCACAATCTCTCAGATCACTCATGTTCAGTCTGTACAGTGGGTGTGAGAGCGCTGCAGACTGCTCCCAGAAGTGAGAGCCAGCCATCATGGGAAAGGTCTTGGAGATCTCAGAGTTATTTAGTAAGGATACAGTGTTGTGACCAGATTAACTTAGGTCGAGCTTTGGCCTCTTCCAGCCAGAGGATCAGCTGTCCTGTTACCTGACTCGCACAAACCTGAAGGCCCAGCAAATTATCCGTGATAACCTCCACCTGAACAACCATGTCAGGGAGACGACCAGGGGCCCACGGTGAGTGTGTGGCATCATGCCAGGCTCTCAAGGGGACAAGCTGGCAATCTGGAGCTGTGGATTTCTCCTGCTTCACTTCTGGAAAGTAAGTTCTTCTCCATGTCAGGTGCTGCTCATGGCTGTTTACTGTTGCAGGTACTGTCCCTCTCTTGAATCAAAGGTTCTTCGCTTCCCAGACCGGCAACATCAGGTGTGGCTGGAGCCCGAAGGCTTGGAGTCCAACGTCATTTACCCCCAAGGCATGTCCATGACACTGCCACCTGAGCTCCAGGAGGAGGTGATCAAATCTGTCCCAGGCTTGGAAAAAGCCAAGATGTTACAGCCAGGTGAGGGTGCTGAATAGTTTTTGAATCTATTAGTCATATTTATTTACTAGTTGATGAAAAGCGGGTTTTGTTTAGAGCATAGCAAAGCAAAGAAAATATGAAGCAAAACTAATTCCTGGATACGATGATTTTTCCTTTTCTTGATCAGAAATGATAAATAGA